CCAATTCCTAAACCTGGACGTGACCATACCGATCCTTCAAATTATTGACCAATTTCACTAACTAGCTGTGTTTGCAAAACCATGGAACACATAATCAATAAACGATTAGTTTGGCACTTAGAAACCAATAATCTACTTACTGGCATACAATGAGGCATATGTAAGAAACATAAGTAAATATTTGCATGTACATGATTTAGTATGACATACCAAGACATACTTACCCAAGGCCCTTCACTTCCTCCATGAAAGATGTGTGTGTGTTAATGCACCTACCCAACACTGTAAAATAACCCTGTGCCCATCTGTGCATATCGTCCCATTTTTAGGACGCACTTCTGCAGTTTACTAGTAAAATGACACCCCATTAATTTCATTGCTTGCCAAAAGAAACTAGCTCACGACATTTGATGAAAACCTAAGACCCTATGCATAAATGGGTTAAAACAATGACAAATATATCAATATATTAACACAGACAGTTTTCATTAATATAAAAATAATTTGACCTTATATCTATTTAAATAAACAATTACAAAATAGCCTTATGTACTGAGCATTCAAAATGCAACGCTAGGTAAACAAACCTACAATTTCATCTTTTGGGAATTGAAAACCACAATGCCATACAGTATGGAGGATCCAATATAATTATGCATGTGTAACTCATGTTTGAAATAAAATCTATAATAGCTTGAACAAAAAGTGCAACAGTTTCAAATTTCACCACCCACAGCCACTCTGCAGAAACCTACTCTTACTAATCTAATGTTATGAAGAAAACATGATGTTGTTATTTGTAGTACACTCAAGGCAAAGTACAGCTCCCTCACTATGGCAATCAGGGAGAAGTACAAACAACCAAATTTGTATTTTGAGATCATTAAAAGTCTGGTCAAATCACATAGGTCAGTAGCAAAGTTTACAACTTTATTCTTGTTTATTGTTATCCCCAAAGTTATAACCTTTGGTATTAACTTACAAATACGAAAAAGCATATATAACAACACCTGTCAAAACAACGTCAAATTGTTGAAAAGAGAACTAATTGCTACAAAAAGACAAAAGAAAGGACATAAAAATAAATCCTGCTTCAATTCTTTCTACAATTGCCTATAAATATAAAGATCCTACAAGCAATTTTTTTCAAATAAAAATGTTAATAATATTACGTATTAATTAAAACGTTTTTGGGCTACATCTGCAAAATATATGCTATTGAATTTAAGTAATAAGGCAACATATAAATATCATTCTCAAATACATTCATAAACATGTGTCAGTCCAATTTCTGTCTAAATCAGTTTAATTTAATTATAATATTAATGATGAGACAATGAGACACAATATAGTTATCTAATCACACTTTAATACTGCCCACTGATATGCAATGAAAAAACATACAAAAATAGTTAAAAATTCAACCTTGCATGAAAGCCCTCTAGTATAAACTGTAATGTGTCTATACGTGAAACACGTTCAACAAATACATAGGGGTGGGTATTGCAGAGAATTTTCATATTGCGATAAATTGAGCTGCAAGTCAAATATTGTGATATGTATTGCAATATATTGCAAGAAGATTTTTTTAACAAAAAATCACTCATAATCGATTTAATGCTTTATTATAAAGCAAAAAAACAACAAATTTACAATGCTTGATTAAGATTTAATAACAACTTTTAATCATGACAAAATAAAAAACTTTTTTCAACCCAAAATGCTGCCAGGCTTAAACCTTTGTCCTAGTATTTGTTCGTTGTTGGGTGTCACCATTTTACAACAATCGTATGACTTCCGATGTGAAAAATGGAAATATCCGAAGATTTCCGAGTGTTAGAAAGTATTCCTAATGCATGTCAAAATACCAGTTTTCAATCAGCATATCGCAATACGTATCATTTTCATGTCTGAACCAGTAAATACAGGTAAACTGGTTATATTGCACAGCCTTACAAATACACAATAAAAAAACATATGCATATAGCTGAAGATTATTATCTTTCTAAATGCTGACATAGAAAATCCTGTTCAGTCTACAATTCACTTGCACTGAAGCTGAAGCCCCGGCCGTTAGGAAATACCGATCAATGTAAAGTTTTAATCAATTACACTGTAAGTACTAAACATTCTCATATATACAAATGAATACATTTGGTCATTGTAATGTATTATACCCCGACTTTGGAAAAGTGTGATTGGTCAAATCAGTTCTTTACAAGAGGTGCAGTAGCCAAAGACCACCTTCAATGCATTCGATCAAAGTATTAAGTTGGTATTGTAACTATACTTATACTTACTATACACTATAAGTGGTTGTAATTTAGTATCAAAACTGACAATGAATCTTATATGCTACTCAAAACAAATTAAGGAATACCCAACTTTTTCAAATTATCACAGTTAATCTGTCATGGAAAGGCATAGCATGAAAAAACTGAGTGTTCTTAAATATCTTTTGAGTAATGGTAGTATGTTTATATATTTCATGAAGGAGACAGTGGTTAGGGATGATTAATAATTTATGGCCAGAGGGGGTGATGATGATTTTCAGGGGGAGGGTCATCAATTTTGTACACATGTATTAGGGGGGTCAGCAAGTATGTACATACAGATATTTTAAAATTATACTTAGAAATTATGGAAAGGGGAGGGGTGGGTCATTAATTATGATTGGTCCCTTAGGTTAATAAAAACAGTTTTGTTATTTTTTCTGAAAGTGGCTTTTGGCTCAATTTGATCAAACTAATAAGTAAGAAATAACATTATTTTGAAAAGACACAGACAGAAATACAGAACAGACAACATATGGAGATAGAAGGATGAGGAAGAATACCTGGAATGTTATAATTGCTGACATTACAATTCCTACCACTTGGTGGCATTTTGATAACCAACTATTGGGAAACAACCACCCATGTTGCCTTCGTGGGGCAGACCTATGTTGTAAATCTTCAAAATAAGGCACTTTTCTATCAACACATGATGATAACATTATTTATGTATTTCTCAATGTAAACAGCAGTTAGCAATAATCCAATAATATAAAGATATAAATATAGAATTTACGCCAGAATCTGACCAACCAGTGGTTCACATTATGAGCATCACCCCACAATCAACATAATCACCAAGAATGACATTGCTGTCCATGTGGATGGTGAGGTAGTCTAATGGTTTAAGCATTTGCTCGTCATGGTTAAGACCCTGCTTCGATTCCCCACATGCGTACAGTGTATGAAACCCATTGCTTCTGTCCTCTGTTGTGATAATACTGGAATATAAAAGCACCGTAAAACCTTACTCTGTCACTCACATACTCTCATCCATTTAGTCATCCCTACATATTATTGGAGAATTATTATATTGTATGCATATAAGGATACTCATGTCAAATAGTAACACTCATGATACAGCCACCTCTGGATCGAACCAACTAGAAATCTTTGGGACTCAATGATCAAAATGGGCTGCACATTTACATCCTTCTTGGTGTTCATGATGGATGAGACTATGTAACATTATGGTGACTTGTGTATCAAGTAGCAGTGTGGTTATAAAATCAACAGGATCTCCTGCAAATACTTTAACATATTCAGGGTGTTTTGTCCTAAGGCTTGAGTAACATGCTCACATGCAAATATGTCTTCCTGATACTACCGAATATTACCGTAGATAAGCCGAATTTTGAGGACAAAATAATGCAGTCTGTAGAAGGGGGTCGGCTTATCTATGAGATATAATTTCACGAAAGTATTTTTCAGTTCGTCAGTGCCCTGTGAGGACGATCTTACAGGTTAGCGGTACACCTGCCTGGAGCAGCACTGGAAGTTTACGACAATTACAGCAACTTTGTTATAAATGATCAATAAAATACAGGGGGGTCGGCTTATGTACGAAATGTACCATTTTGACACTGATTTCAAGGGTCAAGTTAGGGGGTCGGCTTATCTACGGTAATATACGGTAAGGACCTTGAGGAGTGTCTCAATATATGTCCGCATGAAAGACACTGGGCTTGTACAGGTCATTAGACACAACCAAATCCTGATCAAATCACAGTCCTTCATAAAGTCACTCAGTGAGTGAGTCGAGTTTTACTCCACTTTAATAATATTCCTGTAATATTACAGCAGGGGACACCAGAAATGAGCTTCACACATACTATTTATCACTGTGTATAAGGGACATTCTTCATGCCTAGAATAAAAGGCAGTTTCCTCATGAATGGGTGAGATCTCAGTATTTTCCAGCTGTATTACTTTCAGGTTAAACTGGCAATGTCGACCAGAGTCCTTTGTTGGGAGTCCAGACTGTGGAATGGATATTTTAGCCACAATGCTACCTCCTTCCTCTAAAGGAGATGAATGCATCATCACAACTACCACAAAACACTGTACAAAAATAAGAGGAGTCTGGGGCCTTTGAAATCTATTATGGTACATGAACCTATTGCAGCACCCTAAATCTTTAACTTTTAAAACATTATAGTGACTTCTTTACCTTCATGCTTAACTCTGAACACTGAAGAATCCAATCCTGATCATCCTCGATAATCTCAAAGGTATACGTTACAATAAATCTCCACTATACCCTGGATGCATCTATGGCTCGGCCCCTTGATTTTGTTACCTCCCTTGGCGGGCTATTTATCCAATCAGGAGTCTACGCTGGGAAGTTGAGCTACCAATCACAACTCATTTTCGCTTCTTTCTACAAACCAATTAAACTTGGCAACATAATTGTTGCAGAGGTACTCTGAAAGAGGTAGACTGACTGACTGACTGAGTATGGTTTTACGCCGTTTTTAGCAATATTCCAGCAATATCACGGCTGGGGACACCAGAAATGTGAAAGAGGTAGAAAGAGTTCTTGCATATATTTTTTAAGGTTTCAGACCTGTCAATTTGTCTGTATGATTTCCCCAAAATTCTAAGTCGTACTGTGAACAAACCTTCTCAGCTGGGGCAGCTATCTTTGTTGACACTGGCAAGCTCGGTTGTAACGGCGGCTTAGTTGAATGCAGAGCTAGCAAAGGGAGGTAATGAAATTAGAGCCACAGATGCATCCAGGGTACTAGTGGAGATTTATCGTAACGTATACCCTGGAGATTACGGAGGATGAATTCTGACCACTTTAAGGCCTTTTAACATAGAGGAAAGTGTATCCTCAGTGCCTGCCTGGCTTGAAATAGAGCGTATCGTCATGACTGCCATCTCTGTGCCCATTCTTCCTGTTACTTTTACCCTGCACAGCTTCCTCAGGAGATCTGGCTAGCTGCAAGTTGTCGAAGTCTGCTATGCCGTAATCACTGGTGCCTACTGCTGCAAACCCTTGTGATGGTTGAGCAGGTATGGTGATGTTGAACAGAAGTTCTCCGTTCACAAGGCCAACTGCTTGGCGACCCTGAAAATGAATGATGAATTATAGTGAGTGAGTGAATGATGTTTTACACCTTAGTTCACATCATTCCATCTTCACCATGGTGGTCTCATAACGAGTTTGTGGTTGACAGTTATTTACACAAGATGAAATGACAAGCCATCCGTCGGGTCACACATTGTGATATGTAAATGCCTAATCATCAGCATTAGACAGTGGTTGGGTGGATGGTGGGTACCTGCGTGGGTGCATCCATCCATAGGGCAGTGCTTTTAGCAATATCATAGAGGGGGGACACCAGAAATGGGCTCCATACATTGTACCCACATGGGAAATTGAAGCCTAGTCTTCAGCGTGGTTAGTGAACACTTGAAACACAAGGCTACCCCACCACCCTCTTTAAACAGTGCTTTCAAAAAGCATTTTTTTGAAAAGTTAATGCATTGTAATATATTTCAAGTATTTGCATTGGGATATATTTTGTAATATACTAGGAGCTAAACTATTTGACAGTGATTGTACAGTGATTTTCTGCAGACTAAAGTAAATATGTCTGTTCTTAAGACTACCTTCTCACAGTTGTAAACAAATAAAGGTAAACAATCTGTAACACAGAATCACTACCTGTACAGAGAGAGACACCTGGTTCCATCCATATTGGCTGGACAATGTCTGAGGACCCTGCTTGATGATACTTATTCTCCCTAAAATGAAACATATATATACATTGCATAAAATGTGATTTCGCTAAGGCTGCAATGAATCCACAATGAGGTGAATCTGACATGCATCACAAATATTTGGTAATGAATACGATTGTTTGGGTAACTGATACAGATATTGGGTAACGAATATTATTATTGGGTAACGATTACAATAACAAGTCAAGAGCTGTATTATTCATTATAGCTAAAACACATGGAATTATCATGAAACAGCCCTCCTATTATCAGAAATTTACGGGCCGCTGCAACCTTAACAATGGGCCACTATCAGTTCTGTTGTCAAATGCCTTCATAGTGGGTGCGTCGGTTCATTCGACTTTGGCTTTGGACTGGTAGATATTCTGGGGCAAACAAGTCAAAGCAACCCGAATTCCCGTTTTAAATAGCAGTAATATTGGCTTACTTGCGGGTCTAACCGTAACAATTGCCCTATTATCGTTGTTGTTGGACCAAAACCAAACACTGACAACCGACGTTGTGTCTGAAATAGTTTGACATGTTGCAGGCCATGGTCTTGTCAAAGGTCGAATATCGTCACGTTCTGTTATGACGTCACTTGAATTGTTCAATGACGTAATTGCATTCGGTCAGTCAACCCTGTCAGAAGTTGGTATTGAGTAAACTTAGAGTCAAATTCGTTCATTGTTCCCTTTTTCTTTTCAACACAAATTCCATGTATTTTAGCAATAATAACGGCAATGCTATTTTTGAGGGCATTATCGTTTGCAGAAGACCTCAGGCTTTTTCAACTGCCCTCCTTCGTCGGGCAGTTAATGGAAGACCTCGGGCTTCTGCAAATGATAGTTGACGAGGAATTCAACTTTTCTCAACAAGGATAGATACACTGGATATAAAAAATATAGAAGAATGAGAATGTATTGCCATCCAAAATCGTGATTCCATTTTTACGTTGTGAAGAATGATTTCACAAATGTTATATGTATATGTACTTAGCTAGCCTCAGTGGCTGCTAGTCATGTCATTTGAGTGATGTCTCAATCATCTGTAATTAATCTTGACAAGTTCCCAAAAAGCCAGACCAATTTTATTTCTTGTGTCATGGATCTGCGAGTCATATTTTTTCAAGATTAAGAAAAAAATAAGAATTAAATTCCCCACTCTGAAAATGTTTTTATAGGCCAGAAATGTAAAACTTACAAGAAAAATCTTGTAAGATAGTTTTTTGCTCCATATACACTTCATAAAGTGCCAAAAATAATATACTTTTAGTATTTAGAAGGAATATTATTTGGACCTTTCTTTCCCTCCAGCCCTTAGGTTTTCTGAGAACAAAAATCTGTAAAAGAAGAAATAAAATTGGTCTGGCCTAATTAAAGTAAAGATTACACCTTACAGCACAGTATGCCAAACCATTTTCTCACTTTAAAGGACCCACATAGTTTCTGTCAAGACCATGAAACCAGAGATCCTGTGGACTTTTCGTTTAGTAGGTCAATATCAAACCCTGTTCAGGCAATGTTTTAACTATCATTCCAATGGGGTACTGGAGAGGAGGCAGAGGAACTATAAGTGTTACACACAAGACTCAATTGTATAATGTAATTCATCTTATGTTTGGGATGACACGTTCTCAGTAAAGTACAGATTCTAGTACTTTTCTTGGGTTGAGTCCCATCCGGGACTTGAACCCAAACCCTCAGATTCAGGCACCTAATTGCCTCGAAGCCAGTGGAAGCTGTGGTGGCTGAGTGGGTGAGGTGGCTTACTTTGTGTGCTTGGGACTCAAACCAATAAAAGTATTAGAATCTGTACTTTTCTGAGAAAGTGTACCGGTAATCCCAAATATACTGAGTCAAAAAAGAAACTTCACAAAATGTAATTTAAAAATAATGAATAATATTTTTCTGATGATACATCTATGTATACGAAATGGGATCCCTATCTTTCGACTCTAGAAAAACGTTAGCAAAACCCACTCAAACCCATCCATTCGTCGTGCAAATGATGTTAGTGCCAAATCAGGTTTTGCACGTTCAGTCGATCACGTGATCTTCGCATCGAAGTTTTCTTCATATGAACGCGTTTGCATTGGCCTCAAGAATTGAAAAAACACTTTTAAACCACAGTTCTAACGGTAATTGAAATGCCACGATTGTCAAATGTGCAACATGAACGTGCCGTGCCGTTGGCATGTTGCAAGCGGGCAGATCAGTTATTGACGTCGCAAGAGCAATGGGATGCAGCCGTCGTACTGTGTATGACTTGCGTGGTCGTCTACAACAAACTGGCACCACTTCTGATCGCCCAAGGTCGGGTCGTCCACGTGTGATGTCACAAGCAGAAGACCGTCAAATCGTCCTACGTCACCTACATGACAGATTTCTTCCGGCTACACGAACCAGGGATGAGATGTTCAGAGGTCGACTGTCCTCACAGACCATTTGAAATCGGTTGCGGGCTGCCAATGTCCATTCTCGACGTCAATATCGTGGGCCAATATTGACGCCGTTTTATCAACGTTAACGTCTGCTGTGGGCCCAACGTCACCTCCGATGGACACAGAGAGACTGGAATCGAGTCGTCTTTAGCGATGAATCCAGGTTTACCCTCAGATTCGCGGACGGCAGGCATAGAGTCTGGAGACAACGTCGTGAGCGGTAGGCCCAATGTTGTGTACAGGAAGTCGACAGATTGGAGGAAGTTGCATGGTGTGCGGTGCTTTCTGTGGGAACAACCGTTCCCGACTTCTGGTCATCGGTGGAAACCTCACAGCTGCTGCTTACGCGACCAGGTGCTCACCCCTGAACTCGTTCCTTTCATGGCTGCTCATGGCCCAGGTCTACAGTTCCAGCATGATAATGCTCGGCCGCATACCGCAGCGATGTTGACACGAAATTTCCTTCAAAACGCTGGAATCAACGTCATGGACCGGCCGTCGAGGTCCCCTGACCTTAATCCAATAGAGCACGTTTGGGATGCACTTGGGAGAAGGCTTCGTGGTCTTAGGAACTTGGCGCTGCCTTGCAAGAGCAATGGCGCAGAATCCCCAACCACGTGTTCACAAGCATCAGGCAGTCAATGAGGAGACGGTGTTTGGCAGTGGTGAATGTGCGGGGCGGCCATACACAATATTGGACGGAGAAATTTCGCATTTTATTCTTGTGTCTTGATATTCTGTATACCCATGTTTTGGAATGGCGGTGTAGCCTAATGGAACTGATTATGGCACTGTCAGTGTATCGAGTATATCACACAGATCTCAACAGTGAAATAATAACAATTTAACCATCTTACCATCTCTTGTTCTTTTTATAGTGCCCTGAAGAAAGAATGTGAAGTTTCTTTTTTGACTCAGTATATAACATGTTATATTTGAAAACTTTCTCAGTCTAAGTAAACTTTACTCAGTATTATTTGTTACACTGGTATACTGAGCCTAACAAACTCTAGTTTAGTATAGCAGTGTAACTAATAATACGAGCATAAGTTTACTTAGACTGCCACTTTCTAAATGTCATTGTATAACGTTGTAGGTAATTGTGATCAATTCTCACCAATGTCATTGGACACAATGTACGACTGATTGACAGGGAAGAGGAAAAAGAAGATGCCACCAGACGTGAGGGTATCGCAGCCAGTTTGGTTGATTCGAGCAGCCACATAGATGCCACTCGTACCATTCTCCATGCTCACCAGCACCTCCGTGTCAATGTAAATGTTGCTCCTACAAAGAGAATAGTCAATATTTCACAAGTTTACATTACTATACAACACAGTGTAATTTCTCTAACTAAGAATAATTTTTTTAAATCTGACGCTTACTTATCCCCAAATCTGTTATTGTAATGTCAGTTATTTCTTAAAAGATGCTTGTATGAAACTATTTAGCTTCTCACTTAAAAACATTTTCAGTTTTCTTTCTTGAGAGTACAGTATATACTTGCATGTGTGCATTTTGGCAATTCTAAATACTGATTTGAAAGTATGAGAGATATGATACGATAACTATACCATACGATAACTATGCATGTCACAAATTGGTAACATTGAAACAACAGGCTTAATTCATTGAAATGTCTCTGCAGTGGTGATATTTCATGCTTCTTTCTTCAATTTGTCATCAAATGTCTATGACAGGGGGCAGTGGGGTAGCCTAGTGGTTAAAGCATTTTCTCATCATGCCAAAGACATGGGTTCGATTCCCCACATGGATACAATGTGTGAAGCCCATTTCTGGTGTCTCCCATTGTGATATTGCTGGAATATTGCTAATAGTGGCATAGATCACACTCACTCGCTCACTATGACTGAACAAACTATACGAAAGAAACTCAAAATACAGATTATCTGTCCCTTGTGAATGAAAGCTCACAGTCTAAGGGCTTACACCATTCATTCTCAAGGAACAGATAGTCTGTAATTCTTGCTAGCTGGTTGGCTGATTCTCCACATATTCACACACCATGTAACAGCACCGAGGAGGTTCATGGTTGTATTGTACTCCTCATAACCAGTGCACCAGGCAATAGGTGTCTCCAGCACCATCTGCCTCATAACATTGCCGACCGTGGTGTCGATGTGGACCACTTCAAATGCTCCATTTTGCTGAGCCATGAGTAAGGGCTCTGCATTGTTTTCATAACCTGAAACAACATGCAAATGTGAAAAAATTAAATTTTCATAATGAATACAATAAACTATGTTTATAACAAACTTGCTTAAAATGAAACATATATTTAGTCACCCCTCCTGTTCCAAATCTCCATGGGACAGTTGGGCAAATGACATCTGATTGTACATTTGACAAACTTTTGAATAATCCTACCCTTAGTTTTAAGGAACAATTAAACTTTGTATTTTTGTACTCTTTTAACCATTACACATGAAAGATTTGTAGTTAGACTTATGCCGAACACCAAATTCATTCTTAAAAAACTTGTAGTTAATTAACACCGAGCGATAAAAGTTGCCAAAAAATCGCCTGCTTCACTCTCACTGCCAACAAAACCACAGACAGGTTATGTAACTCTGTCGCCAGGGCACTGCAGTGACGTCATATGAGGAAGGATTTTCAGTTAGCTGTATATAAAGTGTGTAGCAAACTCGTCATTTTGATGATTTCTCGACATCAACGAAGACATGCCGAATCATTGCGTTGTCGTCAATTGCTCCTAGGGGATGGCGATGGTGTCACCATGCACAGATTTTCACAGGACCCCACAGTTCATGCTAAATGGGTTATGTTTGTGAGTGCGAAGTGAGTGTTGTGGAAGCCTCTTACTTGTGTTCAGGTCGCTTGACGGAAGCTAAAAAACTACTTACTAGTTGTGGTAAAATATGTATATGATTGATGACCATAAAGATTTTTCATGACACAACTTGTAACATAAGATTTCTTCCTCGGAAGCGAAGTTGTGGTCGAAGTAACAATAATATTGTAAGTAGTATTATATTGACACCCACCTCGCTTCCACGAGAGAAATTGTTATGTTATGAGCTATGTCATGCAAAATCCTATTGGCCATCAATCAAATACATAATTTACTACTAGTAGTAAGTAGTTTTGATTTCGTAACTCAGTGAAAACAAACCTAAATAGCATTGATCCTCAGACTGATGGATGTTCGTGACAGGGCACAGCCATTTTTGAAAATCGTAAAGTCACGGGCTAAAGTCTGTTAGAATTTCTGAGATTATGGTTTGTTTTCATCAAGTTAGAAAATCATAACTACTTTCTACTCGTAGTTACATATGTATTTGAATCATGACCAAAAGGATTTTGCATGACACAACTTGTAACATAACGATTTCTTCCACGGAAGCGAGGTGGGAGTTGAAGTGACAATACTGTGCGATAAATTTCTTGCCACATTCACGTGGTTAACGTCCACTCACCAGTATGTAGATACTAGTCAATGTAAGTCTTTATATTTGGTCTTATAATCCTAATTAGTTTATTATCATACTTGTATGTATTTTGAAACTAAATAAAAAGCAGACAATCTGCTGATACTTATAGTGAATTTATAACAGGACTGTAATATCTAGACATTTTATAGTTTGCCAGTGTGAATCATAATTCGCACACAGGCCCTAGTGTATGTTGTCTGTCTCATTACACTTCACGGCGAAAACAATGATTCTGTTGAATTCTACGACAAATGAATAAAAACAAAATGCAAGTTGTAACTCGGAAACTAGGCAAAGCAGGAGACACAATTAAATGACAGTAGACTGTGAAAACATATAGCTTTCATTTTTCACAACAGTTGTCAAGATTTCAGGTTTATGTAAACCTGTAAACAAGATAATTTACCCCCTGAAATGTACATGAATTCTGCATCGGCCCTCATATCTATTCCTCATATGACGTCACAGAGACGTGCCGCTCTGATTGGTTGAAATTTCGTTGCGGGTGAGAATTGTGCACTGTTGTCAAAAAGGTCGAATTAAGTCAATTTAAGATAGAAATGAGAAGTTTTAATGGCGGGGTTTCATTTATAACGATGCCAATTAGTGATTTATGTATTTGTACCAACCTAAAGTATATGTGATCTTTAACACTATTTTATTAATAGATATGTGAAAATAAAGGTTTACATGTTTCCTCTTCAGACCTAGTCATAAATTGTTTCACTCACTTTCAAAGTCTTCTGTATAAGGCAGTAGGAAGGTACGGTATTGAGGGGGTGTTCCGTAATCTCCCTTTGCGCCAGTGGTCAGAGTAGTCAGAGTGTAGATCTCATCCAAGCCCACCTTCAGGCTAACCGTGCCACTGGTTACCTGAACAATAAGTCAACAACTGATAAATTAGATTTCAGGACCCTGACCCACATCATTCCTTGATGCTAAAAGTCAAAGTTAATCAGAGCCAAGTCAATATGTATCAATGAAGCGGCTGTGCACACTGGAAAAAGTGGTACAGATGGAAAAAGAAATACCTGCACAAATTTGTGCATAAGCCTATCAGGGAGGTTGTGAATTAAGCACATGCTGTCTACTGTGAGGGACAGTGTCATAATTCTTTTCAAAGTTTGTATGTTCATTGTTTAATAAAGGCCGTACATAGCTATATTCCAGCTGTATGAAGGCCGTGGGGTAGCCTAATGGTTAAAGCGTTGGCTCGTGACGCCGAAGACCCGGGTTCGATTCCCCACATGGGTACAATGCGTGAAGCCCATTTCTGGTGTTCCCCGCCGTGATGTTGCTGGAGTATTGCTAAAAGCGGCGTAAAACCAAACCCAGTCAGTCAGTCAGTCCAGCTGTATGAGGGTGGTCTATAAAGAATTGAGTTGGGACCAGACAATCCAGTGATCAACAGCATGAGCATCAATCTATGCATCAATCAAGTCAGAAAGCCTGACCTCCCAATCCTGTTAGTCACCCCTTACGACAAGCACAGTTTGCTGAATCCTAATTCTAACTGGGATCTTCTCAGGTCCTTTTCTAAGCATGATAGCAGTTTATATTGCTCATAGGGCGTTTCCCTTGTGACTGTGACCACATTGGTCAACCATACAACCTCCTGGATTCATTTGCACAACAACACTCTACTAAACGCACAAATGATTAAGACTTTCCAAACCTTCTTGTTCTGACTCATGGCGATCTTATATAATTTAGCAGTGTTATACCAGTGTTTTTTGGATCATGAACATGTAATGTAATTTACAACACTTCTTTGTCATTGTGAAAATGTTTAGATATTTGTAGTGAAAACAATTCTGTCTTGGGTTTGGTCAGTTAGTACAGATTGTGGTGGGCCTGTGGGATTGGTATTATATTATATCTCATATTCTGATACCCCTCTCAATCCTTTTCATCACACGCCTCCCTATCCATAGTAGTGATACACTTGGCCATCCGACCTCAACCCCAACCCTAGCCTCTCACACTCCCTGAACCACATTATTTTCCCTACAGCCTCGCCCTCCCTGCAATGCTTATGCTTTAAACAAAATAAGTCAAGATTTCCCCAGGTTCATCTCCCAACTCACTGTGGCTTCTTTTCAATTTAAATGGGTCTATATGTTACTATCAAAAATATTCAGGGATTAAGCATTTGGCTACCCCCACTCCACCCTTTCATTGTGACATTTTGTTACAGTCATTCCTGACTATATTCTCATCCAACCTATCAGTCCCTATGCTGACAGGTTAGGGGTTAGGTTAAGTGAGTGAGTGAGTGAGTTTAGTTTTACGCTGCACTCAGCAATATTCCAGCTAGTTGGCGGTGGTCTGTAAATAATCGAGTCTGGACCAGACAATCCAGTGATCAACAGCATGAACATCGATCTGTGCAATTGGGAACTGATGACATGTGTCAACCAAGTCAGCGAGCCTGACCACCTGATCCCGTTAGTCGCCTCTTACAAGCATGGGTTACTGAAGGTTCATTCTAACCCGGACCTTCACGGGTGGTTAGGTGAAGAGTATATATAGTAAGTAATGATGGTTATGTGTAACTTCTTCACCATTCCAGCCATATGATAGTTGGGAACACGAAGAATTGGTTATCTAAACAAGTACACACTTTAGTTGGAGAAAAATGATAAAATTCACCTTGAGAACTTATTTACCTGTACTGGAGGTAGAGACTTGAAGAAGACAGACGGTGCCTCTGTGTCATTAAACCCAAGTTTGCTGTACCAAACATACAGCTTTGTAACACTTCTCTGTAAAAAAAATCATGCAATGAGTTTGTTTTAACAGCCGCTGCTGCTGTTACGGTAGGGGTAGCCTAACTATGCTTATATGCATCATGTACAAGTCTACTTACAGTGCTGATAACACTGTCATTTTGTGTAAGTGTTTGTGACAAAAGCACACTGTGGTTTGCTAATTTGTACATATACAGCCGAGTTATTACGCATAATTGACCACTCCCCAATAGGGAAACTAACTTGAAATTAATCCTGAAAACAAAAGTTCAGAGACCATATACCTGATATAAGGCCTTTGGTTTATACCAACTTAATGATGCTGTTTCCAGCTTCTTTCCATAAAGACAAAGAAAAGAGTATTTGGACAAAATGGAATCAGTTATTTTGTCTTCAGGGTAGTATGGTCAACTCACAAAGTTTCCTCCAAGTTCCAGTGTGATGGTCTGTGGTGTGACAGTGTATGGTGGCAGGAATGGGCGGATACACTGGGAATGGTTATGAGTCTGCAACAAGGAACACAATGTCTTGAACATTGTAATGTTATATCAGCTAGTAAAACATAAGACCTCAATAAGTGACACAATTCTTTGAATATTGTTTGGCGATATTATATCAGATTAGTGATGTAGCATCCTATAATTGATCCATGTAATGTTTCTTTTTCTAATTCAGGTTGCAGTAAGTGAGTGAGCTGGGTCTTATTCTATGTACAGTATATGTACTATTTTCATATCATACCATGCTCATAATAAGATATATAGAGGATAGTAAACGACCTTCCGTGTAATACCATTTTTATTAAATGAGTTAATGATTTGGTATCAAACGTTCGCTTTCGCTCGTTTGATACAAAATCATTCACGAGTTTAATAAAAAAGGTATTTCACGGAAGTGAGTTTAGTATTCTGTTTATTACTCTCCAACATAAATTGATAGAAACTGTCTAGAGTGTGATGACTTGAGTCATCTTTCCTCGAGTCAAGTAAGGTCTAATGCCATTGTGACAGAGATATTAGCATTGTGATGTCATAACTGTAACCATTATGACGTCATACGTTTAGCGGTATTACACTAGTGTAATACTGCCGTAAAAATATTACACTGCAGTATCTTACACGGGCAAGTAATAAAACAAGATAGTGAGTGAGTTGGGTTTTATGCCGCTTTTAGCAATATTCCAGCAATATCACAGCGGGGGACACCAGAAATGGGCTTCACACATTGTGCCGATGTGGGGAATTGAACTCAGGCCTTCAACGTTACGAGTGAACGCTTTAACCACTTGGCTACCCCACCGCCCCTATAATAAGACAGGAAGGAAGAAAGCTAAACGGGACATGTACCACTTTAGGAATACCAGAAGTACCTGCATGGTGATAATCACCACAAATCAAGGATTTGAACTCATGCACATTTTGCTGATCCTCGCATGTGTCAGGGACACAACTCTCACACCTGGCTGAACAGATGGACAGAAATACATGCATTCCTTGCAGAGCAGTTTTAGATCAATGAATTGTTGGTGCCTGAAGATTGGCCCCATTGTCTTGAGCATTTGAATTTTCTGTGCAGAATTGTGTCCCTTTGAGTGATTGAGTGAGTGCATATGGTTTTACATCGCTTTTAGCAATATCTCAGCAATATCGCAGCAGGGGACACCAGAAAATGGGCTTCACATATGGTACCCATGTGGGATATCGAACCCGGGTCTTTGGCGCAACAAGCGAACTCTTTAACCACTAGGCTACGCCACCGCCCCATGTCCCTTAGACATGCCAGGATGGGCTTAATAAGAAATCAGTTTCAAGTGATCCAACAATAGCAGATGTTTTAAAGCATGTGAAAAGCGACAGTATTACAATGATAATCAAGACTTTATTTTGACTCTAAGAGCTGGGAGGGGCTTCCATATTGATTTCCCTTTTTGTATTTCATGATGTTATGGTGTTTAAGCATTGCATTATTGTTTTGTTGTATTATATAACTTCAAAGGAGTGATTCATTAAAACTGAATGAAATATAGTCTTTAGTCATGTTTGCATAGTTTCTATACAAAAACCCAGGGTTTAATGTGGGATGAAATAAACTGATTATAGAGGCCTGAGCTTAAAGGTAGCCACTCCCACCAGTACCTTACCATAGTTTCCATGACAATCGAGAGATCCTTTCCATCCGGGCTGACGAGTGAGACGTAGCTTCCGCCTTTGTCCAACAGCCCAACTCCAGACCCATGTTTCAGATATCTCCATCCTATCTCAGTGAACTGGGTGGTGTGGCCTGTGCATATAGGTTGAAAATATTCATTAAATGTATCATTATTTCTAAGCATGCTTTCGACAGTAGATAGGGCTCCTGGGCCTGTCCATTTCATGAAGCCGTCACAGCATTACAACTGTTGTAAGTCTGTGTTAAACTATGGGAGTGACACAGTCATAGTGTTACAATCGCTTTGTGAAATGTGGCTATGGAACTTGAATGCTAACTTGAAACATGCTTAAATTTTGTTTCTAAGATTAGCGTGAATCCTGTTATTATTAGTTATCAACAGGTCTACACAGCATTGTCATACAAGTGGTCTTGTGACTTCAGTGTATCAATCCTAAATGTGAGAGATAAGTTACCAACCTGACATCCAGATGGGACTCTCAACAATGTAGTGGCCACTCCAAGGCTGTCTGGCCGTCATCAACGAGTCCCGGTCCCACTGTAAACCCTCGTAGTAACTGTCTATGAGGTTCCATGCAATTGTGCTGCAATACAGTCAACAAAAAGCAATACTTCAGCAGATATCATTTGTTTGTTTACCATAACCCTGAAAACTGAACACAGGCTTCTGTTTCATAGCTTAAATATTTCCAAATCAGTTAACATTATTAAAGTCATTGGATAAATAAATTTGGAAATATTTTATCCACAACACAGGGGCCTATGGTTTAACCATGTTATTTTTCAACCTAAAGCATTCCAAATAACAAGTATATACTTTAATGTGTGTGTTTATTTAGTGCCAACTTCCATACACAAGGTGTATACTCAAAGCAGTAACATGTTTACCCTGGTAAATGAATAAATGAATCAGTTGCACTACAAGCCCAGCTGCCTTGTTTTAAAAAAAAAGGTATTCAAACAAAATTTCCCAAATTCATTCTGGCATACCAATTGTCTGTATTAACTGTATTTCTGTGCTGGTCCCTACAATCAATTTGATATTGACATGTCTCTACTCAGAGATACTGGATGTTCCATAGTGTTCTCCACATGGTTTCAAAAAGAATGGGATATTTCAGATATAACAGTTTAGAAAAACAAAGGGGAAACATGCTTAGTGGTACAATGATCGCAAGTCTATGTTAAAGTATGAGAGTTATAGTCACCTTAGCACAAAGATTCCTTTGTGGAACAATAAGCTGAGATATCTTTAGTCTGATGACGGACTGAGATGTTTCTTCAACAGTTATGCTTGCAGAAATTGATCTGTAATGCTACATGTATTATGATAAAAAAAATTCATCTTATTGGGCTGGGCATGATCTGTATCATCAAAAGCACTACAGTAAAAGACAACTGCATACCTTGTCATGAATCCATTGACATAGTTTTGGTTTAAAATCTGAAAAGAAAGCATTCAAAATAAATTGATTTACTACCAACCAAATTTAAAAAGGAACTAATGTCACATCTCAGAAACTATGTATTGTTTCTTGCAGTTCATCATAGCTCTTGATGCCTGTAACGCAAAGGAACCTTTCTAGAAAGTATGCTCTTCACAAATAGTTATAGTGAATGGCACAACAACTGGACAAAAGATTTCTTTAACATATCGCATGTCATGTATGCATTGATGTTTGTTACTCACATCAACCTACAGTTATCACAATACATCATTTTACTAATGACATTTCCACATCAACCAATTCAGACCGACTGTGACACAAACAATATACAAGCTGAACAAAGACTGGCATCTAATCAATGTATAATGTTAGAGGCATACAGATATTTCCTGACTTTCAAAGGCTTCCTGGTGGTATTTACCATGTGAAAAGCATGAAGAAGGAGCAAAAATCTGAAATTTTAAATCCATGCTTGACCATCTCCCCAAACTTCCTTGAGTCCAATTCAAATCAACGTTTCTTTTCAGATAGCATTGACCACCTTCCAACACTTTTGTGTTCCTAATTCAAATCAATGCCTCTTTCCTGATAATAAATCTTCTATCCATGCTATGACCCCTTCCCCAAACCTCCTTCGTTCCATCCAACTCAAATCAATGCCTCTTTCCTTTCAACTTGCTATCAGTCAGTGTATGTCATACCCTGGCCCAGCATCCGCCACCGATGTTGTTGTTGAAGGAGCTGTAGTCTTCAGATGACCACAATTGCTTGCCGGTCTGAAGGGCAGCCATTTTTGTCTCAGTACCAGGATAATGTACACTGCGAAGGACAAGATGACTAATTCACAGAATCACCATTTACTCTTAAACCATAACCACAAACTTTCATATTTTTTTCCTGAATGAGTGAGTGAATGCTTCTTAGGCCTTTTCTCTTTTATTGCTTGGTTTACAAATCCGCCAACCCGAAATGTGAAGAAAGTGAAAAAAAAATGTTTTTACATGTTTTTTGCCATTATATGCCGCTGACCAGACAAAAGACAAAGAAAGTGAAAAAATAAATAAAGAAAAAAGAAAAAGCAAATAATACCTTTTAAATATTCCCTGAAACTATTTTATATTTTACAAAAGAAAATCACACAAATCGTCATAACGATTTACTCAAGTGCACAAATAACATCTCCATATTCCTTTTTTTTCTCCTCCCTACCAACCTAATAAATTTTATTTAAAATCCATAAACCAAGTAATTGTGAGGTAGTAAGTACAAATGATGATCCTTGCCATCAGGGCACGATGGCACATAATTACCCTATGTTATACTTGACTGATAAGAATTACACTTTCTCTAGTACTTATTGTGAGTCACATATGGGTTTTGGACCCACACTCTCAGAGGCAGGCACCTAATCACAAGCACACAGTTGGCCACCATGGTTTCCACAAAAATGTACGTCTGACAACTGGTTGTGTACATTACATACTTTGTGTACTCTTCTGACAAGTGTGAATTGGCACAGCTCCCATGGCCGAAAGCTATGAATGCACACAATGCCAATAAGAAAGTGGTCATATATATTTTTTTTTCTTTGTAAAGTGCAGATTCCAGCACATTTTGGGGTTGAGTCCCATCCATTACGTTTGACCACTTTCTAAATGGCAGTGTGAACTCCTAACTATTTTACCCAATGTAATCCACTGCTGCTGCAAGATCTTGGTCGCCTAGGATGTCCACCGACACGTCCCACAGGCCATCTGCTGCCACAATACGTACATGGGAGAACCCTGTGTCATCCAGGACTTTTCTCAACAGCTGCATAGAGACGTTAATGAACTAAGTAACGATAACACTATATTGAAGAACAAGTTCTATATTACAGTGAAAGCAATATATCGGTGTAGGTTCAAACACCATTATCAAGCAAGTGATGAACAGAATAAAGATTGAGGGGCAGATATACAAGTGTGGGGAAGTGATAAACTACCATGGTGCTATGTTGTCTCATGCAAGAGGGATTTACATAGAGTGTCCCCCCAAAAAGGTTCAGCCGAAAAAAATATAACTGTTATAATTCACATTCATTTTAACTGACATCATGGCAAAGTTTAAGTGTTACTGATAACAGGAAAAATAAGGAGGAAGAGTCAGTAATATAAAACACGTTTTATTTGAGATTACACTTTCTTAGTAAAGTATATATTGTAGTACTTTTGTTCGGTTGAGTCTCATCTTGGATTCAAACCCTCATGCTGTCAGTCATGCAATTAATCGCCAGCACACAAAATCAGTGATCTAACCCACTCTGTCACTGTGGCTTCCACAAAGTATATATTCTAGACTACCAGTTGTCTGACTTCCATTTCGAATCCCAGATGGAACTCAACCTAACAAAAGTACTAGAATCTGTACTTTACTTAGAAAGTATAATCCCAAATATTACACATTTAACCACTTTTTGAATGGTATTGTATATTCAGTTATTGAATGAGTTTAGTTTTACGCCGCACTCAGCAATATTCCAGTTATATGGCGGCAGTCTGTAAATAATCGAGTCTGGACCAGACAATCCAGTGCTCCACAGCATGAGCTGCACAATTGGGATACGATGATTGTGCATTCAGAGTCAGGATTGTTTTATGTTTTTTGTGCTCTTATCGAAGGATAACAGTCACAAATTGTACGATATCACATAACAGAGCGGAACAAAAAATAACACTTTGTAACTATTTCACAATAATGCATTTAATGATGGACAAGTACTACAAAATTGAGTGTCCATGGTTGAAAGCTGCCTGCTTAGAATTTTGTTACAGAATATTTTTTGTACATCAAAGTATTGATATAACATTCTTTCAACATGGATAGTGCCCCCCCCCCCCTTTAGTCCAATGAAGAAAGGTTAGCGGCCCTGCGCATTGAGAAATGGAATTCAATTTTTCTATATTTTAGTAAAACAAGTGGTGTGATGTAGTACGAGACTGCAAATTTCTTTAAACAGGCTTACCTTTATGTATGTGGTGTTATATGACCTTTCATTCCAAATCTGAAAAAAACACCTTGGTTTGAATATGGTAAGAGAAAACACTATTTGTTAGAAACGAAACAGCTATGGGGTAAAGTTACACATTCAACATGGCCATAAGCCCATTTGGTTTTCTTCTCCACCAGTTTTGTCACATAAAAAAACAGATCTGCAGACCTTGACTCATTATGTCTGTCTCAGATCCCAAAACGATTGGTTGCTTGTCCATAGTCATCTGACCCCAGTGGAGGTAACTGTTTGCTTATCAGTCATGCAAAAGGCCAGGGTTTAATTGATACAATATGTGAAGCCCACTTTAGGTGTTTCCCTGGCGTGATACTGCTGAGACATTGCTGAAAAACCATACTCACTCACTCACTCACTCATCTTACCCCAATATAGTCTATAGTGAGGCTGTGGACATCCCTGGCACCCTGGATCCACTTCTGGATGTAGCTGGCAAGGACATCAGGGTTCTGGTATGGGTTCTGGGTTCCATTTCCGATCCAGCCAGGAAAGTTCCATGGCAGTCCATATAGCTTGATGTTTGGATTCCTCTGAAAGTTATGGTTTTGTTGAAGGGCAGTTGGGTAGCCTAGTGGTTAAAGTGGTCGCTCATCATGAGAAAGGCACAGTTCAGTTCCCCATATAATTACACTGTGTGAAGGCTATTTCTGGTGGAACCGCCATGATATTGCTGGAATTTTGCTCACTTGCTCACTCAATCACTCTCACTCACTCACTCACTCACCAAGGCTCAGTTAAAAATGAACATGATGACACATGAACACACAGAAATGAGAAGCATCACATTCCCACATTGCACACAAACATTGAATGCTGGTGCATGGATTACCTCTGAATGAAAGTCACACTAACATGTATATTTTCAAATGTGCCAGGTTCTTGAGAGTTATTGCCGTAGTAATCAAGGGACCCCCTAAATCTTTAAAACCAGGATAATGACAAATCCTACATTTTCAATGTTAATTTCAAACATTGACATGCCTGTTCACTGCATCACTCCTGTTACTCGGTTAAACCACATCCAATATTGCTGAGAATACTCTCATGCATTCAAAGTGACATTAATCCACGCTCATGATTCATAAGTTCTTTAATCCATTAATTTGTAAAACAGACTGCTCTGGGAGCGTTACTGTCCAGAGCCCTGTTCTACAAAATGATCTTGGCGCTAAGATGACTGTAACTCCTATGCTTAACATAGGCTTACATTAGTCGTAGAGCTAAAGTCACTTTGTGGAACAGGGCCCAAATTGTCAGGTTTTCACCATACACTGAGGAACAGAGAGAACTAGCGAACCTTCTTGGCCTCCAGCATGAGCCACCATTCATATCCTCTCTGGTAGTTCTCCTCCCAGCTGTTGTGCATGTGGGACGCCTCAGTAGCATCTTACCATGAAACATAAGTGTACAGAACTCAGCTTCTTTTATTCATACAAAATATCTATGGTAATCCACAGCTAGCCCTTCTGACTGCTTTAACCCATGAAGATCCAGGTTAGAATTGGTCTTCAGTAACCCATGCTTGTCGTAGGAGGCAACTTACGGCATTGGGTAGTCAGGCTTGCTGACTTGGTTTTCACCTGTCATTGCGTAGATTGATGCTCGTGATGTCAATTACTGGATTGCCTGGTCCAGACTTGATATTTTACAGACTGCAGACCCACCTGACTGATCAATATGGCCCTGGGTTGATTCATTAACAAACACAGACGAAATTTTGCTGACATCAGCATTCACCAATTTTTACTCAATTACACTAGCATAAGTTCATAGAGAAATATTCCCTGCATTGTTAATGGACGGATAAGAAACCTCATAAAAAAATAACTGAGGTTATTGACAGAAATTTAAAGAAATATCGCATATGCAATATGGCACACATGCCATACTTTCCTAAGACTGACTGACTGAGTGAGTTTGGTTTTATGCCGCTTTTAGCAATATTCCAGCAACATCACGACGGGGGACACCAGAAATGGGCTTCACACATTGTACCCATGTGGGGATTCAAACCCGGGGTCTTCGGCGTGATGAGCCAACGCTTTAACCACTAGGTTACCCCACTGCCCCCTAAGAAGAAAATGCCCTGTTATTCTGCTGGACTCCAGTGAATAACACTAAATTTGGTTCTGTCAAAAATAATCCTTGACCCCAAATCATGGGCCACAAGATACATTGTGGATACAACTACATAATGTGTAATAAATGGTGAAAATGGTGTACAATCAAATACATTTGACAATAATGGGATTTTAACGGTGGCAAATTATCTTACATAATGACTGAAAATATTGCAATCAGTACATAATCACAAATTTCTTAACATGGTATAGAATTATAGTGATGGACATATTACCATATTAACCCAAGAAAAGTGCACACACGATAAATACAGCATTCGCTGGTCACAATGAAGGACCAGGTTTGATTCCCACATGGGAATGATGTGTGAATCCCATTTCTGGTTTCCCCACCATGTTATAGCTGGAATATTGCTAAAAACGGCATAAAACTCACTCACTACCACATTGTCTCTTTACCTGAACTCTGCGAGTCACCTCCAATTTCAACTTTCAGTATTTGCAAGGAGGCAGCAAAGTTGGGCTGAAACATGTATGAACAATTAATGTCTGCATCGCAATATAATAATGATCAAAAAGATTAATCTAATTAATTGTTACAAATATGGTGTGACATGACCTTTGAGGTCAAACAAGCTCTTCATTTTGTAGGTTTAGTACTCTTGTTCTTGCGTTTTTGAAAATCAGTCATGAACCTAAGAAACCAAACATACATATGCTGGCATCATGACAAACTAATTCACAAATACCTTGAACAGATAATCCAAGACTTCATTTCTCTGTTTTTCAGGATAAGCTTTCAAAAGTTTTGATGTTGCCTGAAACATAAATGCAGAATTTAAACAAAAGTTACCTGTATGGATGGAATTCAGTAACAGAAAGTGTTGAGCTATAGAGCGAATAAGACCAGGACACACCAAAGCATTAATAACATTTTGAAATCTACTGGTAACATCCACATTATTGAATCAGATGCTGGATGTAAGTAATATCAATATTGCCTGATCAAGAAAGTTTGAGTGAGTGAGAGCGAGTGAGTGCGAGTGAGTGTGATTATAAGTGTAATTAAGAATGTGAGAGTGAGTGAGAATGTGAGAGTATGGTTGTGATTGTAAGTGTGAGTAAGTGTGAGTGTGTGTGTGAGTGAGAATGTGAATGAGAGTGTATGTGAGAGCGTGAGAGAGAGTGATGAATGTGCTGGTAGATGGTTAAACTGTGACATTTGTCATGATGCTACCTGATCAAGTGCACAACTTCAGTTGTACAAATAACACTTTTCACCACTCCATTCATATATTATGCATTACATTGTATAATGAATAGCAAACTGGTAAGCAATTTCTCATTGCCAACAGAATGTCCAGTGTCATGTACAAATATATGTACATTAATGCTGCACTGAGCAATATTCCAGCTTTATGTAAATAATGGAATCTGTGTGAGTGAGTGAGAGAGTGAGTGAATGAATGAGTGAGTGAATGAGTGAGGTCTAAGCCTGTTCAGCAATATCACAGAGAGGAGCTTCACAATTTTATCCATGTGGGGAAACAAACCAGGGTCTTCAGTGTGATGAGCGACACCTTTAACCAATTGGCTACCTCATCAGCCCTAATAAAAGCTTGACCAAATAATCCAACAACAGATATTGTGAAGGATCTGCACCTTCAGAGAAAGATGACACAAAATCAACCACATCACCAAGCCTGAACACCCAATCCATTTGGTTGCCTCTTACCACCATTGGTTGTCACAAATTGCTGCAAAACTGCAGATGCAGCCTTAAGCAACTTAATTTATATCCTTACCATGAACCCACATTGGGTATTATATATCCATCTGGTTTACAGATAAATGGCATTTTACTCAAGAAGTAGATATCTGACATTGCCAAATATAAAAAAGCTTATGAAGAGAGCTTTCATTTGATATGCATCATGACACTTAAACACAACCGAAAACAGCCATCATCTGCTTCAGATGGGTCGTGGCCTTTATGACCTTTGGGGTGAAATTTGACAGGGTTCCATCACTCCGATTTTACTAGACTTTTCATATGTTACAAAGGGTCGATTCAGATGCTACATCAGTTCGATACTCTTCCAATTTGTGGTGGGTGTCTTGCTTATGTGCCTTTACTAAAGTGTCATTTTCAATAGTTTTGCCAAGGTTTCGCCTTCTGACCCTTGGCCTGGGCGACACGGAAGATAGGAGACAGGTCTTACCGAACCCCCGCTAAGGCCACCGATGCCATCATATCGCCTCCCTAGACCAGCAGAAGTGTCAATAAAATACGCAGATGATGCTTCGACAACGCAAAGATAACAGAGTAACGAAATCACAAAAAATCTCCCCATCTTTTATCTTTCGTCTGCTCGTGGGCCAGGTGCGCTGATAGCTCTGCCTTGGCTATTACTTTCGTATATAGTTGCATGAATTTGATGTACTGAAAGGACTTTAATATTTATATTTAGGACTATATACGTATTGAAATTATATCAATGGGTTATTTATTGTCACATTTATTGAACAAGTGTCTGTTCGCATTAAATACGAAACCAAACAATACAACTCTGCAAAGATGGCTGGTTTAGTGTAGAATTATTTCCGTGTTTGGACTTGGAATAGAAACTTTTCAAAATATGGCTCTGGTGTCGTCACTGAGACGATTCTGTGTACATACAGCTAAGGACAAATGTCTATTGTTTAGTATCCGGGATAGATCTCTTTCAAGAAATGGATATTTGGCTAGATTTGTTGCTAAAAACGCATCGTCAGTCAATGTCAAACGAAATATATCTAAACCACTGTCAATTTTAATCGGTGGAAGTGCACTGTGTTTATCCCTTTCACTGTATGAGCTACTAAAGGACAGACTGACACCCACAGTTCATGCTGCTGTGCCTGATTCCCCAAGGATGCAATATAATTTCATTGCAGATGTTGTTAAAAAAGCAGCACCAGCTGTTGTGTACATTGAATTAAAGGGGAGGTAATGCAATTTTTCGAACTTGTAAGACGTTTCTGTAAATTGTTATCATTGTTGCTTGTGTGGCAAGAGTTCCTCTCTCTCTCTTTTTTATTATTATTATATAATTATATATATTACAGTATTTTTGCAATTTAATGTGTAGTTAAGTTATGTAATTGTATACGCTGTTACAAGTGGAAAGTTTCTACACAAAATCTGATTCCCAAAAATATACATCTAGAAAGTACACTTGGTCTCACACGATTCAAGGAGAAGAAAGTTGTTGAAAATTAGGATTTATATCACAAACAACATACCAAACCGAACTCATGAAGATCCTCTCAAAATATACCAGAAGTTCATAAAAATGTCTTTAAACAAGGCACAGTGAGATTTTTACTGGCAATGTCTGTCTGGGAATCAGAGGTGCATTCTTGTAGTACCTGTTCTGAAAATTTGGTTATTCTCAAAAGTACCTCATGAAACAGATGCCATCAAAAGGAGACTATTGTGAGATCCCCTTACCTAACATCCATATTAGCCAGGGGTTCCTTTGTCTTGGGGTACTAAAGAATCAGACTTACCTAAAGGTATCTTACTGGCTGTTTCTATTTCTTTTACCATGTTTACTCAACATTGCTAGTCTGATTTTCATTATCACAGTTTTAAGTATCCAGTGTTGTATTATCCAGATTGTATTATTGCAACAGTTTGCTCAGGAAATGTCTCCCAGGAACACTTTGCCTGACTTCAGTGTGTGCAAAATACTGCTGCACGTATAGTCACCAGCACTAAGAAGTCTTCACAACATTACACCAGTCCTTATATCACTGCATTGGCTTCCTGTACAAGCAAGAGTTCAATTCAAAATTTTGACACTTGTCTACAAATGCGATCATCAGTCCGCTCCTCCACATTTGAATGATCTCATTCACAAATATGTACCATTGAGATCACTTCGATCTGCCGACCATCAACTACTTGAAGTACCAAAGTACAATCTGAAAAAGTTTGGATATACATCCTTTGCCTACTTGGCTACCACTTCATGGAACCCATTACCTCTTCAAATCAAGGAGGCAGAATCCCAATAACAGTTTTTTAAGAGCAATCTGAAAACCTATCTCTTTAGGACTTTCTATACTTGTGAGCACCCATGAAAAAACCCTGCCTATGACTTTTAGCAGTGACTTCATTTTGTTTGTAGCCCCATGAGAAAGCACTCTGTGTCTGGTGTTTGGCGCAGTATACGTGCATATATTATATAATAAGTAGTATAAAGATCGGCAGTGAGTCGGTTGGTTGGTTGGTTTTTTAACGCCACACTGAGCAATATTGCAGTTGCATGGCGGTGGTCTGTCAGTGAGACAGGAAAGTTCAATTGGAAAGGATGGTGGTTAACAGTAACTGTTCTGTTTCAGACATCCATTCCATGGCGGCTACACTACCATGTCTAATGGCTCTGGTTTCATTGTGCGTGAGGATGGACTGATTCTAACAAATGCCCATGTCGTTGGTAACAAGCAGTCTCTTCGTGTAAAGCTACATGATGGAAGGGAATTTGATGGTGTGGTACAAGCTGTTGATCCAGTCTCAGATTTAGCAACCATTAAAATTCAAGCTGTGAGTTAAAACAGTTTTTATCAGTTGTGGTGGGTGAAATGAATTCTCAAACTAACAACATATCAAGTGTAGTTTTAATATAAACCCATGAAGATCCGTGTTAGAATTGATCTTCAGTAACCCATGCTTGTCATAAGAGGCGACTAGGATTGGGTGGTCAGGCTTGCTGACTTGGTTGACACATGTCATCGTATCCCATTTGCATAGATATATGCTCAAGCTGTTGATCATTGGATTGTCTGGTCCAGATAATTTACAGACCGCTGCCACATAGCTGGAATATTGCTCAGTGTGGCAAACAAACAAACATTGATATTGTTAAAACAGATTTTACAAGTACTGAAACGTGAAAGAGTTGTCTCCCTTAGACCATACCTTGCAAAATAGCTCAGCTTTTTATGTTCAGAGTAATCTCACCTGTCATAGAGATGATGCTAGGTGCTAGCTGTGCTGATATTACTTCACTAATATCATGGAGGTAGTCTGGAAATCTAGTGACTTAGACTTAGTGACTACCCACTGATGTTTATGTCCCAATATAGATTGTGTACAAGGTTGTGCTGAGGTTAAAGCTTTAATAATTACATGCCAATATGATTCAAAATTAAAATGTCAGTGAAACACAACCTTTGTTGTTTTTGTTTAATTGTTTACAACTCATACATAACAAGACAAATTTGATGTTTTTGCAAGTTAAACATTCGTAATCTGTTACTAACCTGTAACTAATTTTAACTCCAATTCAGAAAGACCTCCCCACTCTGCAGCTTGGGAAGTCGTCATCCCTAGAGCCTGGGGAATGGGTGATAGCAATGGGGAGTCCACTAGCCCTCAGCAACACCGTCACTGCCGGCATTGTTAGCACCGTCCACCGAGGAAGCAAGGAACTCGGGATACACAACAAAGACATGGAGTACATACAGACCGATGCAGTCATCAATGTACGCATACCATATCTGTTCTGAAGACAAACAATATCTCTTACAATATCAATAAAGACAGACAATTATTAATTTCCAGCTGTCTGGATGATTGGAACAGTATGAACATTACAAAATTTAATATTTAATGTAAAGATGCATGGCATATTCTCATCCATCATTGTGGTAGTACTTGTCTTGTGTATAGAGCCCACGTCACAAACCAGTTGACCCACATGGGTGCAAACATGTGCTTTGTTTATTATGACATGAAATACACAATGCCATTTTAGAAAGTGGTCAAATGTAACATATGTTATATTTGGGATTACACTTTCTCAGTAAAGTACAGATGCTAGTACTTTTGACAGGTGGAGTCCCATCCGGGATTCGAACACACACGCCACCTAATCGCCAGCACACAAAGTCAGACGCCTAGACCGCTCAGCCACCGCGGCTTCCACAAAAATGGAAGTCAGACAACTGGTAGTCTAGACTGCGGACTTTGTGTACCCCTCTGATAAGTGTTAATTGGCACGGCTCCCACTGCGATTAGGTGCCTGACTCTGAGGGTGTGGGTTCGAAGCCCGAATGGGACTCAACCCAACAAAAGTACTAGAATCTGTACTTTACTAAGAAAGTGTAATCCCAAATATAACATATGTTATTATGACATGTTGTGTTTTGTGACATATATTATTATTGGTTCAAAATAAGACATTTGAACTACTTCCCCATTGTTAATATATTTTGTATGTTATCAACAAGGCCTGTGGAGTTGATACTGAATGTATATCCAAGCCATGCAGTAGCGTAACTTGTGTTATTTTGCTAAGGCCTATTACGGCACTGTCATAAGGCTATGAGCAGCATTGTTCACAATCTATTGCTTTTATAGAAATTATCATTTAAATGTTTCAACTTAGGCAATTACATAACATATTCAGCATTTTAATTTCTTGATGTTAAGCATAAAGTATTCATGAAAATATTTGAGCATTTGTTACTATATATTCATAAAACATACAGTATTTGCCTCACAGTGTATTCGTTGCAGCACTAGTTGATACAGTAAATGATCCCCAATAGGTGTCTTTACTGTCAAAGACCTCAAAGAATTTCAGTACTGTTTTAAACACAATAACCGTTATTTCTTATAATGGAGGTTAACTACAAAGCATGTTTTCCATTTATAAGACGAGTATATGGATGACAACTTCTTCTATATTGTATAACACAACGTTTCTGGGCAGTAAGAAACTTAGGCTCAGTATTATTCGTTACACTGCTATACTGGGTCTAACAAAACCTTGTGGAAGGTCGCGTCAGATAACCTATGGCGACCTATTCAATCAAAGCACGAGACGGACGAAAGGATTTAACCAATCAGACAACATCTACTATTTAGGGTTCAGCGGGACTTACAAAATGGATTTTCTCTTCCCCGTTCGCCAACCCTGATCTCCCAACAAATGAAACAGATATATACTCTTTGGGGTTTCTGGTGACATGGCTATCATAGCTAATATTTCAGCAAGCTGACATGCTTGAATACTGACAAAACGCTATTTTCAGCGACTGTTTACTCACTGTTGTGGTGTGCCTCACTAGGAACCGATCGTACGGAAAATAGCATTTGGAATCGTTCGGTACAAACTTTCTGGAGGTAAAAGTTCAAAAGGTATGTGCGAATGTCAACTTTCACGATTTGGTAAGCTGTGTTCTGATTGGTCAGTTGAAAAGGTTATCTGACGGGACCTTCCACAAGGTTTTGTTAGACTCAGTATAGCAGTGTAACAAATAATACTGAGTCTAAGTTTACTTAGACTGCGTTTCTGGGCTACTTCTTGACACTTCTTCAGGTGATACTCGTCTTATATATTCATCAACTTCTAAATGCCTCTCAAGAATCTCATGTTTTCCATTATTCAGACTAACAAGAAAAGTGAAGTGATTTTAGTAATTTGCATGCATAAATATATGTATATGTCCAAAGTAAGGCAAGACTGTCAAACTGGTTTACAAATTCTGACGACCACCACAAACTGAGCTGGGGAAAAGGAGAAACTTGAAAACAGTTTCAACCTGAATGCTAATGTATACTTTGACTAGCACCCCATTCTACTGAGTGATCATAGCCTACGAACACAAACAATAATCTGTTAGACTGGGAACCTTGAAAAACAGCCATACCAAATTCTGTATGGACATTATTTATGCTATTTCATTATGAACTTTTCAAAATTAATAACTGCATGTAAGTCAGTGGCCTTTGGCCATCCTCCAGCTCATTTCACACAAAGACCTTGATTATCAGTCAACTGGAAAAATATCCAAAATCATTTTTTTATTTCCTCTTTTCAGTTTGGTAACTCAGGAGGGCCACTCGTCAACCTGGTGAGTACATCTGGCAAACTGAACATTTACTGCTGTTTGTTAAATGTATGAATAAGATTAGTAAGTTTTCCATCAAAACACCTTCAATAATGAAATCAGAAAATTTTACAGTGTTTGAGAAGAAATTAATGGTGGAGGCGAAAACCATGCATGTAGAAAATTTTAGTGGCAATTTACATTCATTACGGCATTAAATGTTTTAGGAGAAAACAGCATGGATAATTAATGGTCTGAAATTGCCATTAATTATTGAATAAAATTGTTGTCGTAGGGTTGACTTCTATTTAACATTTCATAAGAAAGTTGATTTCTGTCGTGACAATGTTTGCATTCATTTCTCAGTTTATACAGTATATGTGACTGGAATTAATAATGTGTAAGAGTCATTCATATGTTTGAATAACCATGGTTATTTGGAACACATCAGAAGTAATTTGTATTCATGCAAAGTGATGACATTTAATAGGGAAAGGTCTGTCCTTACAAGGAAATATTTGCATGAATAAAAAGATTTGTCTGAAGAGGAGGTGGTAGAATGAAAATATGTCAATCAAACTTAAATAGAAATTCTGTTTGTGTAGTAGGAATGTGAGTTTTAAAAAAAAGCCTTCAATTTTTTACTGTGTTATATCTGACTTTGAGAGATGATCACTTGCATGATATTGGTGTTCAGAATATTCACCTACGCGTCACTCCTAATTGTAAATATATAAGTTGTTTATCCATATATCTATATAACTGATCAGTTTTCTTTGATCTAGGGCTGTGGGGTAGCGTAGTGGTTAAAGAGCTTGGTCATCACACTCAGACCTGGGTTTGATTCCCCACATGGGCATTTCTGGTAACCCCTGCTGTGATATTGCTGGAATATTTCTAAAGCGGTGTAAAACCACACTCACTCACTCACTCACTCACACTCATGCTCTCACTTATAATCATACCCTCACTCACACACACACTCACACTCTCACTCACATTCTCATTCACAGTTACAATCACACATTCTTAATCACACAAATAATCACAATCATGCTCTCACAGTCAGGACTCGCACTCACTTACTCACTCACTCACCTGGATGTGTGGAAGTATTTGATCTGAAACATACCTCATTTAGGAGATAAACGTACTGTATTTGGAAATTAGATGAATGTTAGACCGAATTGATAGTCTCTAAATTTCATTTGAAGCCGAACAAGAGGTGAATTGAACTCGTCTGTGAAGGGAGTGGTAGGTTCCGTTCATATTTTTTTTAACATTGCACATACAAAATATTCTGCCCAAAGAAAACAAACTACTGTTTATTCAATGCAATAATGTAACACCTAAGAGCTTGGTTTTTATAATCATAACTGCACACGACCGTAACCAGCTTATTGTTTTGTGTGCCGTGTTACTGTATCCCCCTGGCCACACTATAGTGGAATCGTCTGACCTACTTATTTTTTGGAAGTAGACAGTTACGCAACAGTTTGAAATGGCGGACGAGCCAGTGTTTACATTTTGCGAAAGGTTGAAATTCGAAGTGACAGTGGAAAATACTTTACCAGGTAGGTAAATGTTTACGAACGTTTTGCCGCACAAATAGGGATAGATAGGGATGTATTTTCACAAGGTTTTCTGATTTTTTTGTTAGATTGTTTGTTTATGTTTGGGGCTGTGTATTGTAATTGAGTTTGAATATTTTTATAATAGACGGTAATAATTATGATAGTGAGGTTCCCGAATAATTGTGGAGGAGAAATCGTATAATTGTATTTTCCGAGTTTTAATAAATTTTTCATCAGCATTTCCATCACGTCTGTTGTGTTGATATTAGTCATGTTGGTGGCCAAGCTGAAGTAGTGCGGCAGTGTTGTTTACGTGCGCCAGTGAAGCGCCGTGAAATCAGACGAATATTCAATCCAAATTGATACCGTCTGATTTTATGGATTGACCAATCAAATTCGAGCATTTCACGTAGCCATGGTAGAATGCTAGTTATACTGTAGTATTATGTTTCATTGAGAAGAAGCTGATTTAAATTGGCAGAAAACGTGTGTGGTTAAGATGATTAGAATTATGATGAGATAATGGTTATGTCATGTGTGTTTATTTAACTTTTTAAAATGGCATTTATAAGTTGGTATGCTGAACGTGTGATCTCTTGCTTGATAACAGTGTCAGTAACTTCACCCAAATGTCGTATCTCTTCTTGTAACTCATCATGTGTATCAGTGTCATCCAAATCAGATCTTCAGCTCGAACCTGATAACTCTCAACCTGAACATCTGCGAACACCTCCATTAGAGGTCAGATCACATGAAATCTGTATTCAGCCAATCCGTATCAAGGCTCATAAATTCACTGTAATTATGCATGAGCATAGACATGCACATCTGATTCTGTATCTGGAACTAAAACCACAAATCCTGGACAAAAAGGTCTGGCAGCAAAAAAATTGGGGATATGTAGACATGCAGAGGAAATTTCTAAATTTGAAGAATCAGTGACAATCAGCCTGGTGTTGTGCTTTTGGAAGAAAACATGTATAGACGACGCCCTCCCAGATTCTTCCAAAGCACTACAACAGGCTGATTATGTATCCTTGTAACCCATTTAACTGTCACTCAAAATACTGATTTAAGTTTTGTACCACTTAGTTCTGTACTGTTATTTTAAACTGATTTTGCCACCCTTTGATCTGTTTTCAGGATGGAGAGGCTATTGGCATCAACACAATGAAAGTGACCACAGGAATTTCATTTGCCATACCCTCTGACTATGCGTGTGAATTTTTGTTGAAAGCCGATGAATTATTGAAGAGAGGTAAGCAGTAAAAGTCAGATGTGATATTTCTCCATCAGGATCTGACAACATCAGATTAAACCAAATGGAATCCCCAATCTAGATATTACTGACATTGGTCTTGTTTCTTTCATCACCTTCCTGCTGTATCACAGTATGGTGAGAATAATCGTCGCATCATAATACAAGTACCTTTCTTGACATACCTGTGACATATATAATAATAATAATAATGTGTCCATTTATATAGCCCCAAACTCTACACTAGGTATGCTCATAGAGCTAACAATCAAGGCACAGCACATTATTACCCCGGATAACCAAAGCTGCCTGTTAGGTGCTAGAAGGTTATAGTCATATGACTTTTTTCCACTGGTTACCCATTTTCCTGCTGGGTGAACAGAGACAATTTTGAACAAACTCACTTGCCTAAGGTGAGACCACATGTGTCACATGTGCTTCGTTGTGGGGCAGGACTCAAGTCCTAGAAACTCTCAGAAGCATATAGAAGCTGTGAGGAAGATCACACAGCAAACCATTTTAGTATGGGATTCCTTTGTCTCTTCTTGCAGCCCAGAGCAAGTCACGAGGCTGGTTTGGTACAGGGAGTAGTGCCAAGGCACGGCGATTCATGGGCATCACGATGTTGACACTGACACCGAGCATCTTGCTGGAGTTGAAGGAGAGATCGGCGGACTTCCCTGATGTACAACATGGAGTCTTTGTACATAAGGTCACACTTGGATCACCAGCTTATAAGTATGTTCATTTGTGTCACCATTCAGTGTTTGGGTACATGATTGTAAACTGTCATCCCAAACCTGTTTGAGAATGGTTTACAGATTACATCCCCCCAAAGGGGGCTGGATTTGAGGAAATGAAACCAACAGGCACTTGGTGCAACCTTAGGTAATAACCTTGTTGCACCAGACAAAAACAGGTTGCACCTGCTGCTCAACAGAAAGGTACATTATGAGTTGTTCACTGGTCTCTCAGGGGACATGGGCTGATGTACCCTCAATGTTCGTTTATGTTCCCTGAGCCAGTGAACACCTCAATGGTAATTTTGAACTGTTTGAAGCATGAGTATCAGATCATAGTATGGAGTAACAAACGACAACAAAAACAAATTTAGAGCTATCTCCCTTCCATCGATTTGCTTTCGCAAAACATTGGTAATTTCCGTACAGCATACATGATTCAATCTTATTCGAGATAAAGAATTCCCAGCAGGGTACATAGAAAATGTTACTTGCTTGTAAGCGGGATACATTGAAAATAGTAGAAGAGCACTCATCCAATCAGAAAATGACATTTATGTGTGAGGCAAGATACTGTAAGATGTATGCTTCTCTCGAGGATGATATGGTCTGATGTACGCCTCTTTGTAGCAGTGTCACCCGAGCCGGTAGGCGAGGGATAACACTGCTACAAAGAGGCATACATCAGACCGTATTACCCGAGGCAGAAGTTTACAGCATATTTATCTTACCGCCATGTTAAATGTACAAAATATCATTTTATTTTATTTTGAAGATCGCTACCGACTATATGACATGTAAACAAAATGGCGTCTGCTTCTTGACTGGATTTTCAAAATCAGTGAAACATATTCTGACAAGCTTAAACCTGCTTTAAAAAATGGTTATTTTTCCTTATCCTGACTCATGCTTATTGCTTGTCTCCTTCCTTTTGCGAACGTTAGTGGAACACTTGTATCTTCTATTGAAGCTCCCTTCAATAAAAACAGACGTAAAATCACTACTCACCATGAGTTATCTCTCTGGCCGTTGTGGGCTCCCACATGCTTCACTCTCTCCTTCTTCGCCCTAGTGGACGGTTGAGAGAGCGCCTGTGTCTTCTATACGGCACTATATCCTTTTATTTATTAGTTATTACCCTATACATTACCTTTATAGGGGTTTAGGGAGTATCCTTCAACATTATGGTTTGAAATTTATTCGTATTTTTCACTGTTTATTCACGGTTTCGTCCTTGATTGTTCAGTGTTAACATTTCATGAAAACCTGTTTTCGTTGTAGGTTCCCGATTCTCTGCTGCAGACCCGCATTTATTGTGCCCTAGCTGCACAACACCATGCACTTCCAGCTCTCGCTGCAACCTTTGTCAGCATTTAACCAATATTGAATTTAATAAATATATTTTCTGCGTACTTAGGAGTGCTAAAGACAAGTCCAGACGACTTTTTCAAGTTATGGATAACCCGGCTGAGTCCCTCGCGTGTCAACTGCTGTCAAGACGACCCTCTTCCTTCCTGTGATCCGCCGGAGATGTCCTCGGAGGATGGGCGTGGGACGTTGTCAGCCACTTTGCAGAAGAGGGCTGCCCCTTCGGACATCCCTTCATCACAGACGAAGAAGAAGAGGCCATCCTCTACACAGAGACGGCCACACACCCCTAAGATGGCGAGCAGCTCTACGGGGACGCTGTGCAGACAACTAGGACTTTCTCAGGCGAGATTGTCCCGATGGAGGAAAGAGGTCTCTATGATGAGCAGCTGCTCATCATCCCAGAGATACATTGCCCCAAGAAGAAGCAGGCCTCAGCAACGGTAACTTCAGCACAGTTATCTACGCAGTCCGAGGTATCTACACTGACGGCAGATGAGCGATCCCTGGACCATATTGCTACCAACACAGAGAGGGCAGCTCATCTATCACCGCAGACATTCGACCCAGGGGCCTTCATGCAGCAGTTCTCGCAGCAGATAATGGAGATGATGGAGAGGCACTTCGCGCAGGAAAGAGATCAACCAGCCCTGGACACCACCTGCAGAGAGGACCCGGACCTGCACAAAGGACCCACCGCCGACGACACAACGGAGAGGCCTTCCATTGATGACGCAGATGAACAGCCGAAGGTCTTCGGAGACAGCCTCAAGGACGTCATCAACATCACACAGATCATCAAGGGATTCGCCGAGGCAGTCACGAACCAAGAGACACTCGCCTCCACGCAGGTCTCCACGCAGATCGCCCTACAGACGCAGCTCTACAGGCTCATCTCCACGCAGGTCTTCACGCAAGTCTCCGTGCAGGTCTCCACGCAGGTCTCCGCGCAAGTCTCCGTGCAGGTCTCCGCGCATGTCTCCACACACATCCCCAGCGGAGGAGGATCAACGATCCCAGATCAACGCCCCTGAAACAGAGGACGATGGCGGTATTATCTTCTCGGACGCAGAGATAAGATATTGGATGGCCAACGGACTGGAGTTAGCGTCACCCTCTAAGGAAGAGAATGCAGCACTCACGTACCTGATGAAGGGCGATGATGTCGACCACGATCACTCTACCGCCAATTGATTCCATCTCGGAGTTCCAGAGAACTTGGGAGCTTCAGCGGAAGGCAACGAGATCTCAAGCGCCCGAATATTCCGCGGTTCAACGCTAAGAAGTTCTCCTACACAATATGGACCCCTTCATGAAGGCACAAGAGATCGATGACAACTACAAGGTCATCAGCGGCGCCCGGACCAAGTCTTATAAGATTGATTACAAAAGCTGGCGCAGATAGAGAGCGATGTCCAGAAGGATGTTCTTGGCCTGAACAGATCCCGGGCAGTGAATGAGGCGCTCATCGCCAAGTTCAGGGACTCTACGCAGAGGAGGACGGATGATCTACTCTGCTCTACTCATGCAGAAGAAGGACCAGCAGTTTATGGCCGGACCATCTATCATCCATCTCAGCAGCGTTGGCGTTGGTGAGGCGACAAGGACTACTGGCATCCTGCACATGGAGCGAGCTTCGCGAAATTAAGTCGCTGTACAGAGCCCCATGGTCGACATCATCCATCTTAGCAGGGGAGATTGGCGGCGTCGCCAAGGAAGTTGCCAAAGACCCAGAGAAGTCCTCATGATAAAGTCCATTGATACACTAGCCAGTGTCATCAGGCAGGCGTCCCAGCTACTCAGGCAAGTCGAGAAGTTCGCAGGCATCCAGAAGGCAAGAGACAAGAAAATGAGCACCTTCAGAGGAGGAAGGACTCTTTTAAATTAAGCCCAGCCGGCAACTATAGAGGACGGCAGGGCGAGGCAGGGCACCCAGAAGCCAAGGTTCAGAGAGCGATGAAGGAGGGGGTTGAACGACTGGAGTCTTCCACCCCAGCCGTTCCTGTACAACCTTCACAAGTGGGTGGATGTCTACAAAACTACTGGGAGAACTTGGGAAATCTTCAAGATCCATTTGTATCCAGCATCCTAAGAGAGCGGATATCGCATACAACTACAAGCAACTCTGCCCGTGGACAGAGCGAACCTCACAAGTTCAACTTCAAGACCCATCGGACAGAGAGGAGGCTACGAGAAGCGGTCACATCTCTACTAGAGAAGGAAGCCATAGAAGTGGTGGACCAGGACCAGCTCTCACCAGGATTCTACTCCCCAGTTTTCCTAGTGCCAAAGAAAAACTCCAAAGAAAAGTTCCGACTCATCTACAACATGAGGGCCTTCAACAGAGATTATCTACGCAGACCACCAAAGTTCAGCATGATACATCTCCCACAACTCCTACACCTCGTCCGTCCGATGGACTATATGACTAGCATAGATCTACAGGACGCCTACCTGCATATTCCTGTACATCCGGACTCAAGAAGTACCTGAGGTTTATACTGGACGGACGACACTACCAATGGAAGGTCCTGCCATTTGGAATATCATCGGCCCCCTGGTTGTTTACAAGGGTGGCCGAAGCCCATAGTCACATACCTACATCATCGAGGGGCCTCGCGCAGTGCATTCTACCTAGACGGCCGGGATTCAAGTACATCAAGATCCCAAGCATCTCAGACTACAACTGGACTTCACCATCAGACTGCGTACACAACTGGGGTGGCTAGTGAATCTCCTCAAGTCGGACCTAGAACCTACACAGGACCTGCAGTTCCTAGGAATCCAGTTCATCACAACACAGAACCGCATAGTGGTACCAGAGGACCGATGGCTCAAGATACAACAGACAATCTCGCCAAGCTCTACTCTCTCCGTGGCCACTCACGACAATGGCAGAGTCTGTTGGGTCTCCTCCGCCAGCACAAGACATGACAGCCAGAGGGGAGACTACAACTTCGCCCACTACAGGTCTTCGTCGTCAATGCTCATCTAGGCGACCTGGAACCCTTCGGACTCTCCGGACTTTTCGCCCATATCTACTATGGTGGACCCAGAGATCGAATGTTTGCGGAGGCACCTACTTAGCAGAGCCAGAGTGCAAGGCAGCATCTCTACCTGGACTCATCGCTCCAAGGTTTGGGAGCACATCTCGATGACGAAGTGTCAGCTGGGACGTGGACCAACGAGGAGAAAGATCTGCACATCAACATGCTGGAAATGAAAGCAGTACTAAACGCCATACTCCACTGGACAAACATTCTGGAGAATGCTCATCTGATGGTGCATACGGACAACTCCACAGTGGCGTTCTACATAAACAGGCAAGGATCAACAAGGTCGGTGAACCTCCTGGACCTCTGCTTTCAACTGTTCAGCATAACAGACAACCTGAACATCCACATACGAGCATGCCACATTCCAGGAGCCAAGAATGTGATAGCAGACTTACTATCCGTCCAGCGCAGCCATCCCCAACAGAATGGATGCTACGTCCAGAGATCTTCAAGCAGATCATACAAGAGATGGGAGCACCACTAATAGACCTCTTCGCCACAAGATTCAACAATCAACTGATAACATTTGTCTCACCAATACCAGATCCTCGAGCATGGGCAACGGACGCTCTAAGCATCTCCTGGGAAGGACTAAACGCTTACGCTTTTCCACCACCAGCTCTAATACCGAGGGTGTTGCAGAAAATCAGCCAGACGAAGGACCTACAACTGATTTTGGTCGCTCCTTACTGGCCAGCGAGAATATGGTTCCCCATTCTCATACAAGAATTAGGACAACCTCAACTGCAACTACCAGAGTGGACAAATCTACTAGTACATCCTCACACAAAGCAGGCGCACGGCAACCCAGAGGTGTTCCGGCTACACATGTGGACTGTATCAAGGCATGCTTGAACAAGAGAGGATATTCCGCCAGGGCAGCGAAAGCAGTCACACTAGCTCTACTCAAGTCTACGCGCACCAATGCGGCGACAAGTGGCTAAGCTTTGAGACATACGCCATGAGGACCGGCTTTACAGCCATAAAGGCGACACACCCTCAAGTGGCGGACTACCTTTGTCACCCCACGACAAACGAGGCGGTTAAAAGGGTCAACCCTCTCAACATACCTAGCGGCATTGAGCTCAGTCATCACCATGAGGACATGTGCAAAACTGACGAAAGTACCAGAGTTACTGGCCTTACTACGCTCTTTTAAATTGGAGGACCAACAACAGAGATTTAAAGCTCCGGCGTGGGACCTCAACGTAGTTCTACGACATCTCACCAGTGACGTCTACGAACCATTAGAGAGGACATTCTTCGAGTTCTTGGCGCAGAGAAGATGCTGTTCCCTGATCGCCTTAGCAACAGCAGCAAGGATGTCGGAAATACATGCTCTGGACCCGAGAGAACACGATTGGATGAAAATCAAAACACCGTGCATATGGGACTGCGATGGGACTTCATCGCAAAGAATCAACTGCCAGGTCAACTGGACAGACAATTCCACGTCCCAGCACTATCATCAGTCCTGGGATCACAGGATACGCAGGACCTATCCTTGTGCCCAGTAAGAGCATTGAAAGTCTACCTACAAAGATCCAGGACCAGGAGGACGGAAATTCAAAGCGTCTTTTTCGTCCCGATATCGACAGCGCGACACAGGCGGAGGTCTCCGCGACCTCGATATCAATCTGGATCAGAACTGTCATCCTACGGGCCTACAAAGCAGCAGGACTGGATCCTCCACGAGCCTCCAACCCACACAAAGTTAGAGCTCTGGTGTCAACACTCGCTCTACATGGGAATTGCTCTATCAGGACGATAATGGAGGGCTGCTTCTGGAAATCCGACATGGTGTTTGCCAACCATTACCTGAGGGACATAAGCCACCGAGGGGCGCCTCCGGCATTCACCATTTTGGCCCGGCTGGTTGTTACACAACAGTTGACAGTCCCTCAAAGGCGCTGAGACGAAGTCTAGCCCTTTTATCACATGACTTGAAAAAGCCTACACTCGGAAGAGTTCAGCTTTAGAGTCTAGATGCAGGTCTAAGGACAGACTAGCATAAGTGATATGACCCAGTACTTGTAAGGATACTTCATTGCAGAAAGGGTCGCTTCTCCACTTGATGCTTGCATCAAGAAATGGAGTCATAAAATCCACATAAGATGTTAACAGAAGCCAGGACCAAAAGTTAACAATTGTGGTCCCCCCGTCAGAGACAGCTGGAAGTACCGGGTTACAGCAGCAGCAGAGATTAGCAGTAAAATAGCAGTGCCAACAAGAAGTTCCCATAGGGGGGTATATAAGACGTAAATCACTAAATGAAATCCAGAAGTAGCTTGACCCACCACCAAATCCGACGGATTCTACAAGCAATAAGCATGAGTCGGGATAAGGAAAAATATGTTATTTTCTGAATAAAATTGATATTTTATACTTATCCTGATTCATGAGGTAAGCCCCCCCAACCTCCCCACTAGACACTTTGGATTTCCCTGCAAATTAAAGTGTCGGGCTCATAATTCGGAGAGAGTGAAGCATGTGGGAGTGGTAGCCACTTTTCCGCCAAAGCGGCCAGAGAGATAACTCATGGTGAGTAGTGATTTTACGTCTGTTTTTATTGAAGGGAGCTTCAATAGAAGATACAAGTGTTCCACTAACGTTCGCAAAAGGAAGGAGACAAGCAATAAGCATGAGTCAGGATAAGTATAAAATATCAATTTTATTCAGAAAATTACATAATTATGTTTAAGTTGAGTGTGCAAAGCGATGCAATGTATAAACTAGTTTAAATAAAGCAGTGAAAGTCGGTAAAATAAATGTGTACATGGTGAATTAAAAACAGGTAATCGAGCGGTTTTCGAACTCCATGCATTGCATGCACCATATTATATGAGTCATCACGATTGTTAAGCGATACAGCTTCTCTTGGAGAGTTCAGCAGTTACAGTGGCAGCGTAATATTTTTTCAGTTGTCACCCTCCTTGGAAGGGTGACACGAAACTGTTAAAGCATCATTTACCAATGAAATTAAAGTATTTTACATGAAGGTAACATAATATAAGTTGTTCACTGGTCATGAAGGGGACATGGGTTGATGTACCTTCGATGTTTGTTTTTGAAGAACAAAATATGAGCTGAAATGCCTATGCTATACAAAGAAGTTCAAACCTTGTTATTATTTTGTTGTTAGAGATTAATCATCCTCGAATGCCCAGTGTAATTAACCTCCATTATGATCCGTTTGCCACCATCTTTGTTTCTTAAGTAACAGAGCTATTTCAATAGCTTTTATTGATTATTTGGCATTGAATTAAATTCAGGATATATTTGAGATACCTTACAAAAGTCAAAATGATTACCTGTTATAACGGCAGTTGTTTCAAATATGAAAGAACAGTGTCACTTTAATGTGTTGAATGTCAAATCATCCAAACCAGGCTCAAAACAAAGGTGTCATGGCAGTGAGTGAGTGAGTGAGCGAGCGTGTAAGAGAGAAGCAAATACTTCTCTTCAGATGAATACTTCCACATATGCAGGTGATGAGAGTGAGTATGGTTTTATGCTGCTTTTACCAATTTTCCGGCAGTATCACGGCAAGGGACTATTGAAGCGAGTTACTCCCATTGACCCATGTGGGGAATTGAACTTGGGTCTTCAGCATGACAACATATGCTACCCCAACACCCCATTTGTAACACTGGATTATGGAGGATGGAGATGATAGACCTGTGTTTGTTGCAGCGGTGGCATCCACCCTGGGGATGTTATAACACAGATCAATGGGCAGGACGTCCTATCTTCCTCTGACGTGTACAGCGCTGTGGAGAACAACCACACCTTGCGGGTGTGCGTCATGCGGGGAGCCAGAAAAATACTGTTGGTGGTCCACACAGAAGAGGTGGATTGATGAAGTATCAGCCATGGATGTAAGCAACAACTATAGTCTGTTTGGCGGTGAAAATGTACCGATGAATTTCACTTTAAAACAAAAAGTAAATCAAATAAAGTGAAATTAAGATTGCGAATCCTCATAATTTTTACCTTGCCATTTGAAAATTTAAATCTCAGAATTTTATTCAACTTGGAATGAAAGTTGTTTAATAAAGCGATCATAGTTTCAAATCGGGTATTATTGGTTTTGTATTACAAGGATATGCACATAAAATGAAACACCAAGATCAAGTAGGGTTGGTCTAAGTTAACGCAGCTCATCCGCATTACGCGCGTGCATTTGTTTCACTGTTCCAACTACTGTGCTTACCCCTTGTAATACAAACCAATATAAAGCGATGTGAAACTATGATCGTTTTGTTACACAACTTTTTCATAAGTTGAATAAAAATCTAAGATTTAAATGTTCAATTGGCAAGGTAGGAATTATGAGGATTCTGAATCTTAATTTCACTTTATTCGATTTACATTTTTGTTTAAAGTGCAGTCCAATCGATACATTTTCACTACAAACAGACTATAGTCAACAACAACAACAACACAAGCTAGGGTTCATTAATGCTTGAATTTCATAAATGCTTGAATGTACATTGCATTATTTAACTTGTTCAAATATTTTTTTCTTGAGTATGCGCTGTTTTCAATCTCATTAAAATCAGGACTAAGTTGTAACACGCTGTCATTAACTCACAGGTTCTTTAAACCCGAAACTTCTCTTTTATGTGCTGTTTGTGAATTGTGGTTTTAATGTAATTGTATGAAGCAGTCCTTAAACTATCAATAAGTTACAATGTTTTTAAGTGTAAGAATTCCATTATCATGGCATTATACATTGGTATTAGGGCATTCCCCAATAATTTTCTTTTTAGAAAAACAAGAATTTTAAAAGCATTTTGTCATTCTCATCAGCCAGGGTGGCTCTCAAGTAGTTGCCATCAGAAGTTTTGCAAGCATAACTTTTATCAGACATTGTTTTGTTTCAGTGTATTAGCACATATTATGGGGCATGTTTGTTTCAATGACACTTTGTGTACTAACACCGTACTACTACGGCAGCCGATAACTCTGTACACAAATATCTGACAAACACTTCACCATAGGTCATGTCACATTAATCCTTGAGTCAAATTTAAGTGACGGATAAACGTGGATTCTCAAGGCAGTCAGATATTAACATTCTAAGATGATTCAGAATTATTTATTTAATGTTTTGAACACAGAACACAAATATTACTTTGATGGTACTTCTTTTTAGCTGTAGATGCCATGCTGCATGATTAAAAAAATCAAAAGGTTAATCGCATGGTCAATATTATTTACATTTCGAACTGTCCATTTAAGTTCAGTTTCATGAAACAGAAATAAAGATGTGCTGACTTTTGTTGAGAATTTGTCAGGTCTACATATCAGAGTGCAAGATCTGATTTTTAAAAGATTGTTGATTAGCGGATTTGTGTTCCAAAACTGGATGAAAGGACATTATAAAAGTGTTTTCATTTGTTGTGATTTTCCTCCTTTATTGACATCCTTTAAAGTTTTTTTATCAGTGGCATTAATTTACAGACTTGAATAGACATAGATACAACTTTAAATACTTATATATTTTATTTAAACCATGTGATATTCAGCATGTCTATGAAAGAAGAAAGATGCCCTGGGATATGGGTTGACTGTGTTTTGTTGATTAATACCATATTTGCCTTTATGAGATGCATTTATATTTGATATGATGTTTTCCAGTTGTATTGATGTGACTATTACTTAGTACAAGTATGTGTGCAGGATTTATGGACTGAATGTGTGTGTGTGGCTTGTGATGTCTTTTTGTAGCGGGTGATGGAATAAATCATTTATACATACTTGACTTCGTGTTTTTCAAAGAGGTAGGGAGGAATGCAGAATGGCAGATTCTGCTCCAAAGCCTGTTCCCCAAGCGCCTTTAACCCCCATGTGACTCTTAACCTTGTTGTGACCCGTGAAGGCCGCGGGTTAGAATGAATCTTCAGTAACCCATGCTTGTCGTAGAGGCAACTAACTGGATCGGTGGTCAGGTTAAAGCTGGCTTGGTTGTCACATGTCATCCCGGTTCCATTGCGCAGATCGATGCTCATGCTGTTGATCACTGGTTTTGTCTGGTCCAGACTCGATTATTTACAGACCTTCACCATATAGCTGGAATATTGCTGAGGCGGCGTGAAAACTAAAACTCACTCACTCACTTAACCTTGTTGTGTCCATAGGCACCCTGGATTGTGTACTTCTCAGGATCCGTTTACGCAGGGGCAAAGCTTTGTAGCACCGCGGAACATACACTTCTTGGTTGGTTGGGTTTGGTTGGTTGTTTGGGATGGTTGGTTGGTTTTAGTTGGTTGGTTGTTGTTTAACGCCATACTAAGCAGTATTCCAGCCATATAGTGGCGGTCTGTAAATAATCAAATCTGAACAGCATGAGCATCGATCTACACAATTGGGATACAATGACATGTGTCAACCAAGTCAGCGAGCCTGACCACCCAATCCCATCAGTCTCCTGTTATGACAAGCAAGTGTCACGGGTTTAAGCAAGGAATCTGCTTCATGAATTAACTTATTATTATTATGATTATTACCTATAGACACTGAATTATTGGGTTGGTGGGGTAGCCTAGTGGTTAAAGCATTAAATTTCGTCACTCAAAAAGAGCACGGCGTTCACCCCCACATGGGTACAATGTGTGAAGCATATTTCTGTGGTGTCTCCTGCCGTGATATTGCTGGAATATTGCTAAAAGCTCTGCGAAAACTAAACTCACTCACTCACTGGAATTACCGAAGGTTTCTCTGATACTTGTATCTGAATTACTGAGGGGGGCAGTAAAGTAGCCTTGTGGTTAAAGTGTTCACTTGTCAGCCAAAGTAAAGGGTTTGATTCCTCACGTATGGGCAACAGTGCTTGAGAAGTCCATTTCTGGTGTTGCCAGCAATGCTGGAACGTTGCTAAGAGTGTTGTAAAACCTTATTCACTTACTGTATTACTGAGGGGCAGGATTCTGATATATCGCTTATATCTCTGTGTGATAAAGTGTAGCCCACATGCACATAGTGGTCACAGCACTGTGGTTATTGTAGCCCCATATTTACACATACAGACTTAAATTAGTAACAGCTGTATAAATGCTCCAATGCAATCAAGTCCAGATGTCTTCCTGAATCTAATCCCCTCCCCTCTGAAACAGGATCTTTGACATGACAATATATCCTCAACCTCAAAGGTCTTGCTTAAACCCGTGAAGTTCCATGTTAGAATATTGATCTTCAGTAACCCGTGCTTGTCGTGAAGTGGCTGAATTTCGGGATCAGGGTGGTCAGGCTCTCTCGCTGGCTTGGTTGACACACATCATCGATTCCCAATTGCCATGTAGATCAATGCTTATGCTGTTGATCACTTGATTGTCTGGTCCAGACTCGACATTTACGCACCGCCCGTATTGCTGGAATATAGCTGCATGGGGCATAAACTAAACTCACTCACTCAAGGTCTTACCATCAGTTCAGGGATGTTGAGTTGAGATATACTGCAGAAACTTTAAAAAGAAATGTGGCAGAAGGATGGATACAGCTGTTGAGATGATTTAAGGTCTGATTTTGTAATTGTTTTTCAAGCAATGTGGTAGCATCTTCATTATATCAGGGTGGTGGTTGAGCCCAGTGGTTAAAGCATTAATTAAGCTCGTCACATCAAAGACCTAAGGTTCAATTCCCCACATGGGTACAATGTGTGAAGCCCATTTCTGGTGTCCCCTCCGCCTTGATATTGCTGGAATATTGCTAAAAGCGTGATAAAACCATACTAAGCTCACTGATTCATTACATCCCATAATTTTCATCACTTACCTATTTATTTAGTCTGTCTCTCAGTCCTAAGACACGTTACATTGTATTTTGCCTACCATCCACCATTATCAATGCTATATCCCATCTCAACATAGAATTTTACTTGTGTCTATCAAAATAACACACATTCACAGTCTTGGTGGGTGAGTGAGTTCAGTTTTATGTCGCACTCAGCAATATTCTAGCTTAGCATATGACTGTGGTCTGTAAATAATCAAGTCTGACCAGACAATCCAGTGATCAACAGCATCATAGGCATAGGAACAGTTTAAAATGTGTGTGTGGGGGGAAGATTTCAAAGTGATAACGGTGGTGGGTGGAGAGGAGATATATATAGAAAAGGACAGACGACTTCACTTGAAACTTTAATTAATAGCAAATGCATTACATTATTCAGGTAACACTAGATCGACTGTTTATACAGGCTAGTGCATCATGAAAAGGTTCAGCTCTTATGAGAAAAGTCCAAAGTAGTTCGTCTTCTGTCATTGAAAGAAATGAACTCCCGGCAACATCCACTAGAGATAGTTCATCAGCAAGGGTTTTGTGGACATGCAGTAGCAGAGCGTTATTCATACGTTCCTGTGTCATTGTAGATCTGATGTATGACTTCAGGCGAAGCTTGGAGAAGGTGCGTTCTGATGTTGCTGTGGTGACAGGAATAGTCAAGTAGATCTTCAAAGGGTGCTTATCTCCTTGAACAGGTGCCTATTTACGGGCTGATGAGTTGATAATTGATACAACAATATCAATATTTGTGACTTCAGTGATTAAGCATCCTCTTTCAGTGGAGACAGATTTCAATGTCATAAAGCATGGAAAGTTGTGTGTTCAATCAACAAAGTCAAGCATCATCTTTGTAGAGTTCTCTGATGTGTGAAGATGTTTGAAAGTTCAGATCCATTTGCAGCTGACAGCAACAGTTGCTCTCTATCTCCACAGCAGTGTTAAATCCTTTCTGCGAGAATCTCGCTTTAGTTGCTCTGAAAGCGATGTCTAGACCTTCAAAATATTGTTCCAATAATAATCTTCCACAGAAGGAGAAATCCGTGTGCTAGATCCATCATCCAATCTCTTGGGCCTCTTCCGGTAGCGTGGTAGGCGGTGGAGGATCAGTTTTGTCTTCAGCTTCATCAACAACAGACTTGGAGAACTCTGAAAAAGTATCTGTACTCCTCAGCTTACCATAATACGCCAGTGCACTTGCTCCTTTTGTGCGTCCTTTGCGTTGTTTCTCTAAAAGCTTTGAATGGAGGAAGACAATTGCTCTGATGCAGCAAAAAATTGGGAAAGAACTTTCAATAACAAGGCAGAAGTGAGCACAGCTCACATACCCCAGCTTATAGTCTGATGATCCTTCAATGTACCATTATTGAATACCAAAGAATAATGTTTTAGGAAAACTTTCAATTTTGGCATCATGCAATTGAAAAGCCAAAACCAACAATGGCACCATAAGGGTAAAGTTCCATGCCAAATTTGAAGTTTGTAAAGTGGTATAGTTTTGAGTTATGCTCAGAGAAACCATTCGAGGAAGACGACTGGCCTTACCGGACACCGCGGGCAGGGTGGAAGGGCTATATACCAGCTGACTTCACGTCGTGGCGGGGGGTATAATAATGCAGCCATTCTTATTTCCATACATGAATTCGGCTTTCAGATCAAAACCAGCTCTCTCACTGCCAATGTATGGAGTTTGAAATCAAGTGTCTTATTGTTATTGTTTAGATTTTCAATAAACAATCAAACAGCACCTATTATACTTAAAATAGGGCTATTACTGTAAACTAAATATTTACTGTATATAGACTACACTGTAATGTCAATGTATGTTGTCAACTTTACTGTTGATTCCCAGAATCCATGTTGGCTGTTAATAACTTAGCCTGACTGCCCTACTTTCACTTTTGAGTGACATGAATTAAAAAAATTGGATTCTATCATTAGCGAGGAAAAGGTATTGTTTGATCGTGTTATTTTTCAAGCGTTACCAGAGGCTTGAATTTGTGTTTAATTCTCTATTATTGGTCCCTAAAAAAATTCAAGCTTGTAAAAGTGGGGGGCACCCCATATTTTAGAGGAAGCTCCCCCCAGTCGCCTATCCTCGCCTATGCAGCATGAATTATCCAATCTCACGCAATTGAGATCACGACGATAACGTATGTGTCAACCAAAGCCAGTGAGGTTGACCACCTGATCCAGATTAGTTGCCTCTTACAACAAGCATGGGTTACTGAAGATCATCAATTCTAACCCGGACCTTCCACCGGTGACCACAGTCTAAGCTTTAGTCTAGTTCATGCACAATTGGACTTCTAACACTGAATATTTCTGTTTACAAAAGTAATAGGAGGGAAGAACTGACAAGATTTGACCTCTAAAACATATCGGATTGCACCATGTTTGTTAGGGGCTCATGCAGATTGTATGCATGTTCTTTTAGGAGTTAACACCTGAGTCTGCCTGCAGTAGGATAAAAACAACACTGTGCTTTTGAATTTCACTTTATACCTGTTGTCATTTCCTCAGATGAAATAAGACCTGTAAACCAGTTTCTAAAGAAGGTATTGCCTGAGTGCACCTTGAACATAAGGGCAATCCTGGTATAGATGGTATAGAGTATCGGTTTAAATATATAACCTGACTCAGTGGTCACCATTGGAAACTATGTGAATGTAAAATGTTTATTTTATGTGAAATTATAAACATGAATAAATGAATGAATGAAATGAGGAGATAATCAGGAACTGCCTGCTTAGTCTAAGTCAGTATACAGAGTCCCAGTGGGTATCCATGGTGAATAGCAGCAGAAGTACCTCAAAGGGAGTGAGTGACTGAGTTTAGTTTAAAATTAGACCAAGAATTTTTTATTCCGGCAATATCATGGCTGGTGGTGAATGCCAGAAAGAGGTGCCTCAAGGAGGCTGTCGCTATAAAACCAGAAGACTAATGGTATAAGCATCCATGCATCTCACACCCAAAGATCAACCCTAACCCTCCTTCTCTCTCCCCACCACCCAACACACACACCACACCTCTCCTACTCCTACATCCCTCCTTCCCCTCCCCCACCCAACACCACACACTCCCCTAGCCCCTTCTTTCTCCATTGGCCCCTATCCCCAACCACCATCCAACACCTTGCGCATTGCTTAGCACACACCCACATACACACACATCCTTCAAATACACCCCACACATACATGTATGTTTGTTTTGTCAGTGCAGTTATCATGAATACAATGTTTTAACTGAATTCACCTCCCTATTGTTGTCGTGTTGTATGGTTAAGCTTGACTCCGCATAATAGGTTCATTATCCACGTTGTGTGAATGACAGGACAATTGGAGTAATGACCGGATTGGGCTTCACTTGTATTTATTTACTGAAGTGAATCTAGCCCAGGATTTGTTTAACCACCATGTCAGATTTAATCACCTCATTTGTGCCAATGATGAAAACATAAACTGGAAATTACTAAAGAAAGTACAAGTACACATCTGGTGCTTTGGGGTTGTTTTTAAAAAGAACTACATAAATGTAACATATGTAATGATTTGGGATTACATTTTCTCAGTCGAAATCAGACCAATTTTATTTCTTGTTTCTGAGGATCCATATATGTTGTATTTTTTTCAAGAATAAGAACAAAAATCAAAATCAATTTTCCACAGCTTAAAAAAAATAAAATCCTAATGTTTTATTGGTCAAAAATGTAAACATACCAAGAATTTTTGTTTAGATTGCTTTTTGCCCCATATACACTTCATAAATTGCCAACAGTAAATACTTTTTAGTATTTAGAAGGAATATTACTTTGACTGGTGATTTTATTTTTTTATTTTTTCCCCTCCTGCCTTTAGGTTTTCTGAGGACAAAATCTGTAAAACAAGAAATAAAATTGGGTTGACCTAAAGTACAGATTCCATTACTTTTGTTGGGTTGAGTCCCATCGGGATTCAACCCACATCCTCAGAAGTCAGGCACCTATTGTGCCAGCACACAAAGTCAGCCGCCTAACCCACTCCAGCCACCGAATGGGTGCTGGGTGATTAAGGTGCCTGACTCTGAGGGTGGGTCTTCAAATCGGAATGATAGACCTCCAATAAAAATACTAGAAATCTATGCTTTTACTGAAAATCCGTGTAATCCCAAATATAACATGTGTACATTTGACCACTTTCTAAATGGCATTGTGTATTCATAACTACATAAATATTTTGAAAAAGTGTTTTGATTGTGACAAACATTGCATAGGTGATGCTGATGCAGAGATATCCTTTACACGGTGTTGTGGGTGGGATATCATGAAAATCATGATAATGCTGAACTGCATGTGCATGATATACACCAACAGTCAATTGTGATTATTAGTGGTATACCTTTTTTAAAGGCACACATCACATCAGTTGGGCAAATTATAAAGTGATAAACACTCAGACCCATTTACTACCAGCTTCATCTGAATTTAGCCATACAATCAAAAGGACTTTCAGTTAATTCTGTATGATTTTATGCCACTTTTCTCAATATCCCTGAGGTTACATCATGGTGTGGAACACCAGAAATGGACTTCACACCTTTTACCCATGGGAAACAGAGCCTGGGGGAGGACTTTAACCATTAGGCTACCCAACCACCCTGAACAATGGAGGTGGTAGCTTCCAAAACAAATACATTGTGATTAACAATTGCATTGGTCCAAGCAGTGTGCGAAATAGCTGCTGGCCCGTTAGCCCATGGCTAGTAAAATCAGTTGGATCAAGTAAATCTCCAGCAGTCACTGGCCTACGACTGGCTTATGAATTTTCATGAGGTTATTATTTTGTAGATATATCACTCTCTCTGACTTGTTAAGGTTATAATACATTTGCAGAAGGGCTGGCGGATGGATGGGAAAATATAGCAGTTCACTAACAGTGAGGACGGGACTATGACCAGAAAGTGAAACTGAAACTGATCAGCATAACAATGGAGTAGTTCCCCTTTAAAATTATAAATTCACTAGGGAATTCACCCTATGGGACAAAAGATTTAGGAATTGGGTATTGCAGAGAATTTTCCTTATTACCGATATATTGCGATCGCGAGAAAGCATATATTGCGATATCGTACGGTACGGCATATATTGCATGAAGTATTTTTGAACAAAAGACTACTTATAATCGAGTCGCTTCTTGATTTATAGAGCAAAACACAACCGAATCCACTGAGGCTTGATTAAGCTTTAATAGCAACTTTTAATCATGATAAAATAAAAATGTGAATAATATTTGGCAACAAATGAAGCAAGGACATATCGAACATTTCGAGGTGTTCTGGAGTTTTCGAATGCAAGTCAAAATCTGCGGTTTTCGATCAATGATATGCGCCCATAGCGTATCGATTTTCATGCTGAACCGGTAAATAACGGTGAAACCCGGTTATATTAGCATGAGCCCTACAAAAGATACCATTTCACATACAACAGTCATACATGCAGTAATCAGTGCCGCTGTTTTTATTCAAGAAAACCTTTAGAAAATCATGCACCTTTAATTGTGGTTCCTGACTTGAAAGGTTTTGACAATGTTATTATTGGGGAAAGGAAAGGGGATGGACCACCTCACCCCAGCTTTCTAATCTGCTGCCGGTTTGCATTGCGCAGCCACCTTGGTTAGTTGCTTAGTCTCTGAATATATAATATTTTGACAGAGAATTGAAAGGAGCCCTAAGTGAGATGGGAGATTAAGGGAACCTGCACCTGAGGGGAAATCTAGACTTGCTTCATTTAGGGCTTTATTTTCTGCAAGAGGTATGGGCGGAAGGGAGAATACAGTTAAGCCTTAAGGATCTGTAGAGACAGACTATCACACGTACAATGTAATCTTACACCTGTTTTATTCAAGGAAAATCTTTCAGTAAATCATGTCTGTAATCATGGTTCTCATGGGTGTTGACCCCAAAAAGTATTTCTTGGGGAAAGGGAAGGAGGAGTCACACACCCCACCCCAGCTTTTCCTAATCTGATGACAATTTCTATGCCCATAGCCTACCATAATAACATGCTGAGTTTGGTAGTTTCAAAATCAATAATGGTTTACATGTCATGTTTGTTATTTTTGGGGTAAGCCTTTGAATTGACTTTTAGATTTGCCATGGAATTTTTGACTATATGATATTTTGCCACCCCCATACTCCATTCACATTTTAAGTGGCATTTTTGTGACATATGCTGGCCTATAATAGATAGAAGTGGGCCCTAAATAGCCATTCTGGAATTGATAGATTTTGTTTCAAATAGAAACAGATGCATGACAGTAGTATTTAGGAATTAGTTGAAATCTCGTAATTGTTGATTGGTTCATTATAACTAATCAATCATCAAAGAAAATTGGTTAAGCGTCATTTATGAAATCTTCCTGGTTGTATGTTATGCAGCAAAAAATATAAATAAATAAAGAAAGAAAACACATGTAATTCTTTGCGTGTGTTTTCAAATTGCACAAAATGCATTTGCAAATTTCCACATCTTTAAAGGGTGACTAGCAATATGCTAGGAAGATAAAGTTCCCTGGAGTCTTTAAGATAGCTTCAATCCTTGACTTGGAACAAGCTTGTAGTGGGTATAGATGTAACGCAGACAAAATCCAACCTTATGAAAAATATTGCCAATTTAATGCAAATGGAAAGTGTTTCCCAAAATTGTTTTGATGTTGATTATGAGAAAACATCATGCAGTTTGCTTTTAGTCATTGCGACCAATCTTAGATGAGTTCCAATTAATCTATATGACGTGTCATTTTATGGCCCATTAAGGACCTTTCAATATGGCTAGAGGGAAGTATTATTGATGATTTTATGGAGACCAAAGCATTTACATACCCCACCTAAAATATATGTACAAAGTGTGTTACCCTCACCCACCTGCATGTCATGTACAAAATCAATGACACCCCTCCTCCCCATTTCCAATTTTTTTAAAGCATAATTTTTTAATATTCTGTATGCACCAATTGCTTAGCTTCCCCAAGAACAAAATGGGTGACCACCCCATAAAAATCAAACTTCACCCTCTTGCCATATATAATATGCGTTGGTCCCTTACTATAGCTTATACTCTCATATCATGTAGCAAGGGACCATTCATAACTATAAACAAGGAGTGATAAATTTTAATGGAGAAACTATGTACAATATGAATCCCTCATAACTTACAAAATCAATTACACCCCCCCCTTCCCATGAATTTCTAAGCATAATTTTAAACATATTTTTTGGTACAAAAATGCTGACCCCTGACCCCCACCCATCCCCAGAGTACGGTATTGTACAAAATTGCTTCATCCCCTAGCTCCCCCAAGACCAGATGGGGAACCTCCTTAAAAATCCACTGCAGAATGCACACACAAACACACACACAAACACACATACAAACACAAACAAGCACACACACAAACAAACAAACACACACAAAACAAACAAACAAATACACACAAACAAACAAACACACAAGCTAAACAAGAAACATAAAGTATGAATGGTTCCTAAATGTACTTTGATACATTGTATTTTTTCAAATTCATGAGATCCTGAAATCCCACCAATTGAGATGTCTGGTAACTATGTGTTAACATATTTTCATGTTTTGCAGATACTCGTCATTTACATATTACATAAAAGTCAATGTAGAATAGAAACTATTTGGTTGCAAGATCTGTTTGATTGATCCTGTCTGTTATCCATAAACAATCTTACTTTCCTTATTTGAATTGCAAATTCATTATTAATCAAATAAATGAAACATAATTTTAATTTCAACATGTAACAATTGTATGTCCAAGGTCATTTGGAGATTTTATGAAGTTTGTATCAATGAATAAATATTGTACACTATTTCAGTAACCTATTGCCTTGGGATGATTCAAAGGTCTGTATAAATGAAGGAGTCTGTGAGAAGTAATACATGTATACTTTGTTTGGGCTGATAGTATTAGTAGAATTCTATTTCAGATATTATATTTAATAATTTTGTATATATAAAATGCACAAAGATTAATGCAGATATGAGATGTCGTTCTTCACGTCAGTCAACAAAGAAGCTAGCACACTACAAGGGCATTTTTCCTACATGGTTCTTTGATATATCAATACATGTACACCTATGCAAATAATGCATAAAACAAGTCTTCTTTAATTTGCATAAAATACGATTGTAGAGACTATTTTATAATATCATAATAAATAAAAGAATAGATTCTGATATTTCCCAAATAAATAAAACCAAACATTACTTTTAATTGCTATTTCTGTACGAATTGTATGTAAAATAAACAGTCTCTTGACGTAGAAAATGGATAGAAAGAGGATTTTCTGATATGAACATTGATAGAAAATGTAGGATATATTGAAGAAGCAGCCTTTAATCGAGTGTTTGGAGTGTCTGATATTGGGTATGATATAAAATGAAGAAAACACAAGTGCAATGTGCGTTCATTTAAAAGCCAGTATAATTTCATATTGGGTTGAAAAAAGAAAAAATTCAGGCTGCTAATATGCAAACATCACGCGCCATTTTCAAGCGCTTTCAGGGCGGAAGACTCGAAATTATCAATAACATTGTCCAGCCAATCAACATTAGCATGCTTTCCCGCGTAGCTTTGGCGAAGAGTGTTGGAAGAGCGTTGGATCGTGCTTTGAAAGGAATGAAACTATGCAGCTAGTCCTTGATTTGGTAATGGGATGTAGAATGTCTATTATGCGTAATGTATTTGCATCCTTAGTCTTACTTCAGCTAATATGACGTATTGTTAAATACGATTTGTGCACGGCGCTATTGTTGTTTGGTGTGGTGACCCTTAAACACTTGCCCGCGTGTTGTCTGACTGCAAAATGGCTTCCTCGTAAAGGAAACCCACATTCGTAAAGGGGTCATCAGGACCGGAATCAGGAGGCGTTTTGGCTCGATAGCTTATGTCATGATGGATTTAAATTATTGCATTTTTGTTTTATCGAGTGTTTAACATTTTATAACAACATTTATGTACGTTAC